AAAAGGATTAATCGGCAAGCTGAAAAAGAAGGAATCACCGGACTACTTTTTCTATCGAGGGAATTGTGGCCAAACTAGAATAAACAACTCCAATAGAGCACACACTGACGATGGATACCCAACAAACCACGCCGTCTTATTACAGTCATGTTTCAACACTCTAGACAGCTGCGCTGTTTAAGGCTCAACAGCATCACAGGATCAATACAAAGGAGAACAACTTATTTTTCTTGTAGCGTACCGCTGGGCATACAAATATATATGAACGCTGTACTCACCCATTAAAATAACTGGAGGTTACGCTGGGTCGCTATGTGCAGTCCCGGGGGTATATCTTCATATCCTTCCAGTCTTCAGTGCACCTCGGGGCAAATAAGCCTTCTGAGCCTGGGTTCAAGAAAAATTGTGGAAACAAGTATTGGATTAGAAACATTCACATGGTGTGGTGACATAGTTCAATGCCACCATGTAGTTTTACTTAACACCTCCACTTTCTAGGTAAATATTAAACTTCAACCCATTTTCACTGCTTTCATCTGTGAGGTAGCAGGGCCACCTATGGCCTATAAAGTGGTTAAAATTAGCTTTTTTTGATGACCTGCAAATGTAAAATCCTACTTAAATCCATAGGTAGATAGGCCTTAATTGTCATTGTGGGGGGAAAAAATGAATGTGTTATCAATAACTATAAATAAGGCTCTCGAAGCCATGGCAGTGTGACAATGACCGGCGAAAATACCAGCAAGGACGCTGATACAGGAGCAGCTATAAGTCGAATACAGCGGTTGCTCATTTCATCATTTAGATAATGTAACCTGTGCTTGCGACAGCGTCACGTGTCAAAATCTCTGTAAAAAAAGGTCTATTGAATTTTTGCTTGAAGATTTTGCAACCCGACAGAGGTCATTTCAATAACTCTGCTCAGATTGAACGTGGGAGGGATTACTTGAGGTCAGGAGTGGGTGCACTGAGAGTATTTGTAATTGGTCCAGGTGCCACAACGCTAACAGGAGAGGGAGGCAGAGGTCAATCAAGTATACTCTCTGAACAAACACCGTGCTGATAAATTCAGCAGAAATAATTGGAATATCCTGTGTGGGTTTACCACGGGTGAGCAGGGCATTTTAGTGGAGGATCTATATACACCCTACACCATTAGTGAACCTAGCGCTGAAACAATTTGGTGACTGAAAGAGAATTAATTTCCTGACAATTTTTGAAAAGTGATTAACTAGTTTGTCAAGCAAAGAGTTCAACACTTTGTTGGTTTCAGCCTTCAGAATGTGAAGACTTTTAGTTTATTTGATTGTAAATTGAATAGCTGTTGTTGGGTTTTGCACTGTTGAACGAAACAGAAATAAGACATGATGTTAAAGTCTGAGACAGTGTGATGGCTATTTTCACCATCATTGTATACCTGAAAGACATGCATTCAAAACATTAAGATATCAACCCATTGTGAAAATAGGTACTTCCAGGCTAATTGGGAATCCCCAAAAAAGCAACTTTCCTCTCTGTCATCACGAGCTGTCCAAAGAGAATGACAGTAACATAGAGATTAAGCACATTTGGCACAACCCAGTAGTGTGCACGTTGCCTGTATTGTTTCTGTAGCTGAACCTACTAAAAACATTAATTCCTTTGCCAATGCACATAATATACACTCTATTTAATCGCAGACGTTATCCTATGATTTCCCACGTAACTACCCATTTTGGAAATGATGAAATAGTCTCATGAAAAAAGTCAAATGATAATAAAAGGACACGTTTTAAGCCGTTGCTAAATGCCAAGCCTTAAGCAGCAGGTCAAATGCAGTCTCCACTCCGTCTACCTCTCCTTCCCTCCAAAAGTAATGATCATAGCAACAGAGGAGAAGCTCGGCTCAAATTGGCTGTCTAACTTTCTGTCCTCTTGGGAGAAAAGATCATGCTGTGCAGACTGAGCAGCCTCGCTCTTGGTGCAGAGTGTTGGTGGGTTGTACAGCGCGGACACATCTGCTTTTTTGGTGGGATAATTGTTTTGTCTCTCCAAATCTGGCGGTGACCTGAATTGCTCCGTGGCTTTTCAGTCTGCAATTTAAGAGCCATTTTCTTCCTCGTATATTGCTAAGTTGTTCTAATTGTCTGCTGTTGCTGCGTGCTTATGTTTTTCTTACTAGCAGAAACTACTTGTATTTGGAAGGGAACAGATCAGAATGGGGGTAAGAAGTGTACGGCGCTGCAGCCTGAATCCCAAGTCATTAATTAAATTAAAGTCATTAATAAAGAATATCATCTATACTGCAATTACAAATATTAATTTAGGGTGACGTTGATGAAGTATAACATTGGATTTGCCGTCACTCCAATCGGGAAAGCTGTAAATGCTTAGATAGATCTTTAGAAGAGTTTAGTGAGCTGGTGGTTGCCGCGTGCGCACTAGAAGACTAGACTAGAAGACTATATTTTTTTTTACTGGCTCTGCCTTTCACTTTCCTGCTGCTGTGTGTTGTCCTGATAGATGATACCAAAGGCCTTCTGAGCCAACCATCAGTGTCGGCGGGTTCCCACGACAACAACCCGCAGCCCCTTGTGCCTGTGACATCCATGTCCAATTTCCAACAAACACACAGAGTCTAATAAGTCAAGGAACAACCTCATTAAAAGCCAATGTGCTGCTAAATTTATACTGGGCATGGAGAAGAGGGGATTCACATACAACTGGGAAGCTACTTCATAGACCGCATTCATGCAATCTGAGGTTGATGTTGGTTATAACACCTGCGTGTATACTCTGTAAAATATCAAATGAGAACGGAGGACTATAGATCCTCTCATCTCCTCTAATTCCTTTCACTGAGGGATTTCTCTGTGCTCTGAGAGAAAACACATCACCTTTTTTTTTGGTGCAACACAGACTTTAATAATAAACTAAATCAACCATGCGCATGAAGTAATATCCAAATGGATTTTTTGCAGACTATTGACTTGTTTAATTTATTAATGAATGGCATTATCTGTGTTTACAGATAGAATACGCAAATTGGAGCCCAAATCCTTTTTATGCAACTGTTATTTGTTCAATTGAGTGGGTTACATAAACTCAAATCATCAACTTCCCTCCGACTGACCCACATGTCAATGTACTCTAAAATCTTATTTGCAGTCTTTCCAAGACTGTAATAATTCATAGGTGTAACAATTCCCAGTCTGTCTGTATGGCCTTTATTTACCACACGTTCCTGAAATATATCTGACGTTAATATACGAGATATATTTGTGTACTGTGCGGCAAGACAAACTAGAGAGTTTCCCCTCATTACAGCGGCAGTCAATCATGTGTGGAGTCATCGCTGTCAGTCTGCTGTTGGCTCTTTCTACCAGGTGGTGCAGACCATCTGTACCGTTTTGCAAAATGTTAGATGAAACTCAAAATAATTAGTTGCACTCAGAACATGTTAAAACGGCAGACACTGCCATTAGAGCGGAATGCACGACACTGTTTCCAACTAAAACCGCTTAAGTGTTAAAAGCTGCGGAATATAGGCTAACCTATCCTAATGCTGGGGTTTAAAAAGTGGAAAGTAGTTAAAGACAAAGGGATTGATATTCTACTTTTGCCCTTGAGTGAGAGTGAGCGGGGGACAAAGTGAGGGAGATTGTCCGTGTGTGTGTGTGTGTGTGTGTGCGCGCGCGCAAGAGAGAGCGGGAGTGACAGAGAGATAATCTCTTTTGTGTTTTTGATCCCTAAATGTGGCGGTGTCCCCTTATCCCAGCTACTTAGTTTCTGCAGTGCGTAAGTGATGCCATGCACTTAGGCTGAGAAAAGCAGGTCAGTATGACCACTGAGAGAAAAACCACATGTGCATCGCATGGATAGCCTTGGGATTATTCCTCACAAAATGTCTTAATTCCTCTGTTCACTAATGATCCAGGGAAAATGCCCTCTAATCTCCATTCCATTAATTAAAAAGAGCATGAGCCCATGGAAAACCTCACCATCTGCTGCAGTTTGGTTCCTGCAGACAGATTGTGTTTTCAGCCATTAACCAGGGGAACTGGGTTTGTCGGAGCAAACGGGTGAATGCATGAAAGCGGGTGGTAAACAGATACAACTGTTCTATTTATGCTGGAAATCTGTTTTAAATGACAAATTCTTGCCAGGCTACTCTGATGTCTCGGGACTTGAGCTGCCTCCTGAGGACAATTTGACAATTTGCACACTTCAAACCCATTCTATACATAGAGTCACCTTGGAGACTTCATTATCATTTTATAGTACGTTTATGGTAATGGTTAATAGAATAGATGGATGTGCTTCCTTTTTTTAATGAGAACTCTTATGCAGTCCCTATATTTTCCTATAAATGCTATGCTTCTTTTCTTGCACTTTGATTATGCCTTTGAGTTCAACTAAAATTCTCACCACTGTAATAACATAAACAAAGGATTCTCATGTTGAGTTCTTGTAGAATCCTACCAATCCAAATCTGTACATATGGCCAATACTTCAAAATGACAAGCTTTTAAAGAAAAAACCTATGATTTAAAGTCTAAAACGTTTACTGGTTTTGTAAGTAAATGTATGACAGTATAGTGTGTGTGTGTGTGTGTGTGTGTGTGTGTGTGTGTGTGTGTGTGTGTGTGTGTGTGTGTGTGTGTGTGTGTACAATACGAAATGATAGCACGATAAATCCGATTATGCTGAATTCATTAGATCGAAAAAAAAACTTTGAATCAAAACATTGAATCAAGTACGTTTGACCTCCGATCGCAGCCTGAAGACAGGACATGATTTTGATCGGGCTAGTAGGCAGCAGAGATCATCCGAACAGATGTCGCCCCTTCCTATTGGAACGGTACGGCCAATGATAAACACACACACACACACACGCGCACATGGACACACATGGCCCCCACTAATCTGAGATGGGCCAGTAGCTCTCGCACATCCCTTTCTCGCTCTCTCTCTCTCTCTCTCTCTCTCTCTCTCTCTCTCTCTCTCTCTCTCTCTCTCTCTCTCTCTCCCGTTTCTCTCAAACAGACAAGCGCTGGTCCGGTCCCACTAATGTCAAGTTTTGTTTTTCCTTTCCAGACCATATTTTGCACAGCTCTGCTATAATCATCTTGCATGAGTGCACAGGAGACCAGAGTCCGTGGTGTGATTTGCTGCACTGTTTCAGCCTACAGATGGAAAAGCAAAAGCAGTTTGGGGAATGGCGCGTAGTTTGCCGCTTGGTGTTGTTTACTTGTTTCTTGGAGGCAGTCCGGGGACAGATTCGCTACTCCATTCCGGAGGAACTGGAGCACGGAGCTTTTGTTGGCAACATTGCAGAGGACCTGGGCTTGGATTTGGACAAGCTCTCTGCACGAAGATTCCGGATAGTCTCCGGTGCCAAGAAGCAATATGTGGAGGTAAATTTAGAAAATGGAGTTTTATTCGTCAACGAGAGAATTGATCGCGAGGAACTATGCGAGCAGAGTTTGTCCTGCTCGTTTCACTTACAAGTGGTCATCGAAAACCCTCTGGAGCTGTACAGGGTGGAGATGGACATTTTAGACGTGAACGACAACTCTCCCAGTTTCCCGTGGACCGAATTCAACCTGGACATATCGGAGTCTGCTGCGCCAGGGTCCCGATTCCCACTTGAGAGCGCGCAGGACTTCGACGTCGGATCCAACTCGCTGCGCACCTATTTGCTGAGTGTGAACGAGCATTTCCTTCTGGACATCCAGACACGCAGCGACGGAAGTAAATTTGCAGAACTCGTCCTTCAAACCCCACTGGATCGAGAGCAGCAAAGTGCGCATCAAATGGTCCTAACGGCGGTGGATGGAGGTGCGCCGGAGAGATCTGGCACTGCGCAAATCGATATCACCGTTTTGGACGCGAACGACAACGCACCCGTGTTCGATAAGTCGTTTTACAGAGTGAGGCTGGCGGAAAACGCACCCAAAGGCACAGTTGTCATCAAGCTCAACGCGTCCGATTTAGACGAGGGTCCCAACGCAGACATCACCTATTCATTCAGTGGTCACGCGCCCATCAAAGTGCGCCAACTTTTCAGCGTGGACTCGCGCACGGGGGAAATCAAAGTCAAAGGGGTGATTGATTACGAGAAGGCTAGGATGCATGAGATTTACGTCCAGGCAAAAGACAAAGGCCCATCCGCGGTGGCGGTTCACTGCAAAGTGCTGGTGAACGTTTGGGATACAAATGACAACCTCCCGGAGGTGATCCTGACGTCGGTGTCCACACCTGTGCAGGAGGACGCAACCCCGGGAACGGTGATAGCCGTCATCAGCGTGATTGACAGGGACTCGGGTGAAAACGGCAATGTGGACTGCGAGATTCCCAACCAGGTCCCATTCCAGCTCCACTCATCTTTTAAGAACTACTACACATTAGTAACTTCTGATTTTCTGGACAGGGAGACAGTTGCGGAGTACAACATCACCCTCACCGCCCGAGATATGGGCTCCCCGCCTTTATTCACCAGGAAGACCATCTTGGTCCAAGTGTCTGATGTGAACGATAACGCGCCCCGCTTCAAGCAGCCCTCCTACACGGTGTACTTGACTGAGAACAACGCTCCAGGGGCATCCATCTGCTCGGTGACTGCACTGGACCCGGATTTTGGTCAAAACGCATACCTCTCCTACACCATACTAGAGGGTGACATACGGGGGATGCCCGTGTCCACTTACGTGTCCGTAAACTCAGACAACGGGAACATTTACGCACTGCGTTCCTTTGACCACGAACAACTTAAGAACTTCCAGATCACCGTTCGAGCTCAAGACGCCGGGTTCCCACCTCTAAGCAGCAACGTGTCCGTGAACGTCTTTATTTTGGACCAGAACGACAACGCGCCCGTCATCGTGTCCCCTGCTCTGCAAAACGGCAGCGTGCCCGGCGGCGCGGTGCCCAGGTCGGTGGACGCCGGTTACCTCGTCGCTAAGATCGGCGCGGCAGACGCCGACGAGGGTCAGAACTCGCGCCTGTTTTATCAGCTGCTGCAAGTGACCGACCCGAGCTTGTTTAGCATCGCTCTGTACACGGGCGAAATCAGGACCATGCGCCAGTTTGGGGAGAAAGACGCCACGAGGCACAGATTGGTCATTCTTGTGAAGGACAATGGTCAGCCGCCCCTCTCGGCCACTGTTTCCATCACCCTGTCAGTGGTTGACAGCCTGCCAGCTTCGCGGCCCGATTTGGGCGACCTGTCACTCAGCCCGCATCACAGCTCCAACTTCACCCTGTACTTAATCGTGTCTCTGGGCGCAATCTCCGTCACATTTCTGGTGGCTATCGTTGTCCTGGTTTCAGTGCGGAGGCGGAAGGGCAGACCGCCCGGCGCAGAGTCCGACTTCTCCTCGATCAGCTGGAGTTGCGGGAGCAGCCGCTGCTGCTGCTGCTGCTCCTCCTCGCGTGCGGAAACCCCGAGCTCCGAGGAGGTGTTCAAAAAGTCCAACTTGAACGTCTGGATGTCCACCGGCACGCCCGCCTGCGCCGAGGCAAACGGCAACGGCGCCCCGCCTCAGGTCTACTGCTACAAAATGTGTCTGACGCCCGAGTCATCCAAGAGCGACATCATGTTTCTGAAGCCTTGCAGTCCGGTAATGTCAGCTCAGCGGAACAACAACGCCAAGAGCACAGATTACCTCACCTCTGGCTGGAGCGCGCTGGACCGGAACGAGCTGGCCAACAATAGATCTGCAACTCCAAACGAGGTAACATAATAGGGGGCGCTCGAAGAAACACAAGTCAACAGAGTTGGTGTCTCGTATCCAAGTCGCTTGTCATTCAATTACAAATGACAGAAAGCTGGACTGAAGGGCAAATGTCACAATGCATTTGACACTGTGTGTTTGAATAAGCATCCGATATGATATTGCCACTATACTTCATCTGAATAATTTAAAGAGCAAAAAAAAAAAGCATGGCTATTTTGCGGTCTTATGCAAGTAACCCTTGCATAAGAAATATATACATGGCAATGTTGTGGGAAAATGACCCCAATTTGTCAAGGTGTGTGACACAAGCCTGGTAGGGGCTGCAGCAAAAGAAGAGATGCACTTATTATTTTTACAGTTATACTCAACCAAGCAGCTTCATCCTCTCTCTCTCGTCAACAATCAGCATCTGCATATCCACCGTTACTAAACCTCCCAACACTCACATGAGCAGAGATCCTCTTAGTCCTTGTAAAGCTGCATCGGAGAGAGTTTTATGTAATACATAGTGTTATCCAGTTCATTTGAGTGTGTACTAAAACCATAATTAACAGTTTCAACATGAACAAAAGAACAGTGCAATTGTTCTGCTAGAGGTGGCTGCTAAATTGTGTTTTTATGTTTCTGTACAGTATTCAAACAAGGACTGGACCTTGACCAAAAACCAACGCAACTCAGCTTACAAGAGGTGAGAACCTTAGTTGTAACACACACACGCACATGCATGCACCCGCTTAAGCGTGTACTTAAGCCGTCTCCTTATCTCCTCAGGTATAGTTCAGCAGATATGGATGGCACTCTCACTCACCAACAAAAGTATGATGCCCGTGGGTTTTCCTGCTCTGTGGCACCCCAGTACTGGACCTGGGGAAACCACATGAATGGTAGGTGGTAACTGTGCAATTTGGGCTCATTATGCTCCTGACAAAAGCAGCCTGATCTCCAAAACCTGTTCGTAAAAATTTATACGAAAATCTTGAACATACACATTTGTAGTGATAAATAAATACGGACTGCAACTGATGACCCTATTCAAAGTGAATGGGGACCTGCACCCCGTAAACACACTTCGTGAAGTCTAACGATGTAAGATAAATGTGTTATGTTTGCAGTTTTAACGAGAAATCAATGTTAACTTGTAAGAATAAAATACTAACCCTAACCCCTTCAAAAAATCCAACATGGCGGAGAGACATTCACTCAAGAATCCGACATGTTGTTCACTCAAGGGGCGTGGTTGACCCCCGCGGTTCGTATGTATTGTTACGAATTTCTATGTTCAAGATTTTCGTATACATTTTTACGAACAGGTTTTGGAGATCACGTTGTACTGGGATGTTTACTGAAACTGATTGGCTGGCCGAAAGAGGGTGGTGGGTCGGGGGATTCTTCTTGCATCTGTGCTTGACGATTTAGTGTGAAATGCTAAATGGTAAACTGCAAAGCAGATCATACCATTCAATGCAACCTTATTCAGATCAAGCATATATCGTGTGTAAATAAGAGCTCTATACAAAATCATTTTTTGATACAAACTGTAATTTATGCGCATCTTTACAGACTGCAGGATATCTCTTCAAGAGGGAGCAGTCCCCCACCACTCATGGACCCCCAAGTACACTCAGCCTCACTCTGAAGCACCAGACTACCAGCACAATGTGTACATACCTGGCAACACGTCTGACCTCAGCACTCTGAAGCTGGCGCCCAGAGGAGAACTGGATGTGTACAACACGTTCTCTACCTTCGGAAAGAAAAAGAGATTCATCTCAAACTATGAACAATCTTTTGACAACGATGATAGTCTCATTGTAAGTAATAACATCTTCTAGTGATACACCAGCTGTACTGTTTCTCTTCATAGTTCCAGTAACGACCTCAAATTGCTTCTCGGAAGCTGACCGACTATGTTTCCCTTTTTTCAGTGAAATGTAATACTACTTCCTCACCAAGTGTGCATATATATATATCATTTTTTGTATATATTGTAATAAAGTATAAATAATGTCTATTTTGAGTCATTGTTGGATTGTGGTTGTAAAGGCTTTAAACTAGCAAACAAGCAGATTATTTCTTTTTTTCCAGCCGAAGGGAGCTCAGGTAACTGTGAATTTGGTTTGTTTGGAGGCTGCTGGTTCTCAGTGATTGTCTAACTTGTAAAAATGTCCCAATTTAATCAGCTTACAGTCTATTACACAAGTTTGGTGCATGTTCCAGTCCCTTTTTTTTACAGACACACCTCTTTGTCTCAAAGGGACACATGCTGTGGGTCCAAAGTGAACTGAATAACTCGAGCAGGCAGCTTTTTTGGGCATTCTATTCCACTAACGCTGTAAATGTTGTTAACATAATGAAGCTATGCCAGAGCACAGCATCTTTCATCCGATCATGTCTGGTGCATTGAGACACAGGTCATGTGATCATAAGTCTGTTGTTTAAAGGGGATACAATAAAAAAAGAGATTTAATGCCATATGCTTCGGCTTTCAGAGAAATGATTGTTGAAGTATTGTAGTATTGGTAACAGCATCGCCGCTGTGATTCTACTCCCTCGGCCTGTGCAGTGGACCGTCACATTGACCGACCACAGCAATCAGTTGACAATAACGCAGGTAGAACTCGGATTGTTTGATCACAAGCAACTGCTAATGTAATTCAGTCACTGATACTTATAGATTTGTGTTCATCACTGAGTGTGAATCACTCTATAGTCTATGTACAGTATACATGTATATCAACAAATTGGTCCCCAACTCGGCATCTGTTTGTTGATATTTTCATTCTTGTCATTTAAAATGCTGAACTATGTGTGTTTATCTTGCTCTGAAACAACCTCCAAGGGTATCGTAGCTATCGTTCAAAAACAATACAGTTGTATAACTCTGAAATCCTTGTTTATCTGCAGTTGTTGTTTGGATATCAGACACGATTTTATTGTTTTCATTCATCTGGCTGAACTCATGTGTTTCTCTGGCTCTAAATAATTTCTTAGGTGAAGTAGAATTAATTTCCGCGTGAATATATGAATACATCAAAAACAATAAAGTTGTAAAAATAAACTTATGGAATTGATTTTTCACAGACAAACAAATCACAATTTCAGTTGTTCTCAATACATTTACCAGATACTTACCTTGAGATATATCGCCAGAGGGGGTTAGTAAGTGGTGTGATCCATTCATTCATATTTCTGGCACATCAACTATACAGACCACCACATATTTTTTTAAGAAGTTCCCTGCAGGGATAGAAACAGGTGTAATAATGCCCTTCAGCTCTTCTAAATCTAAGCGTTGAAGGTGAGAGTCAAAGCAGGAGGAGGCTCTACCACATGGCCACCAGTGTATGAAGCCTATGAAAGAGGGAACTACTGTGACTTATGGCCCTGCGTCATTTAACCTTTGTCTCTTGACATAACGGGAAATGAATACCAGGGTTCTAACTACAACTCCTGTGATAATCCTCAATATCCGTGGCTTCATCTTGACTGACTGACTGACTGACTGGCAGACTGCATCAGTGAACTAAATTAAATTATATAAGCTGAGTGCCAAGGTTCAGTTTCAAATGTATCGCAAACTCTCTGAACATGGAGTCATAACGATAAACCCTTTGAGGAAGACATTTATGTACATCCTAGTCAGCGGTCAGTTTGAGACTACTGGAATTTGAAAAATAAATTCAGACAACATCCTGCCAATAATTACAGATAGAAAAGCCCAAATGTATCTTGAATGTATTACCACCAGTACCGCAATCATACAGGCTTAGCAATCATAATATGTCCCATGTGCCATAAGCAGAGACACGTAGCCATTTGTCCAGCTTCTGTGTCATGTAAAATATGTTCCGAGGCCATGCTGTGTTGCTTTGTTCAATGCATCTGTCTCTTATCGCTTCCAACAATACACAGCTTCCACCACTGAGCTTGGACAGAAGAGTCTCTTGTTTTTCCACTAGAGGGCTCCCTTCCGTCACAGATATCTCTTTTAAAGAAAATTACATGATCTACCTTTTGGAATTCAGTGTTATATTTCAATAAATGTTTTGAATGTTATTGTACTCTTTTACAAGACCTAATTTAATTTAATAACAACAATGGGTACATTACTACAGGCATATTACTGTGTTCAAGATGTCTCTAGCAGGGATACAATCAGGTGTAAATTTCCATCAAATCATGAAGTGTAAGGCAAGAGCTCAGGAGGGGTCAGAACTATCCCACTACAATGTGGAGACCAGCGCATGAGGTCTTGGGAAGAGGAAGCTGCGGTGACTTCAGTTCCTTTGTCATTTAACCTTTTCTCTTGACATTCCAGGCAATGAATACCAGGGTTTTAATGGAGGTCATCTTCAAGATCTGTTGCCTTTGACTGAGCAATTATGGATAAATGGCTCAATCTTTGGCTCGGGCCTGACCGTCTCATGGACTGTGGTAAATTAAAAAATAGGAGTGCCAATGTGTAATACGGTAAATGGTAAATGTTTTTCTTGCTTGAATAGATTCATCTGAGTTTGTGGAAAAAAAGGAGAATATGTCGTGTTTATCATTTAATATATAAAACTCCTATACAGTTCTAGGTTGACACAGTAAATGGACACTGCAGTAAAATTATTTTATTCATGCCCTGACCCCTGCTCTTCACACTATTAGGTGACCACTGCTTGTTACAGTAACACCTAACATGACCGCAATGCCACGTTCAATTAGCAAGTGAGTGAGAATGGCCCGTGAAAGTATCTGACTTTGAAAGAGAAAGGCAATGCATGGCACAAAGATTAACAGACAATAATTATCATGATAACATACACAGACACCTAAGAAGCAATCAATATGTTTAGAAAAAAGACACAACCCTAAAATACACCCACTGCAGGGCATCCCTATTACAAACATGATTTACCATGTGCTAAATTATAATATACGTAATAATTAATAATTCATTAATAAGCAAAACAAAATACTGATTTAAAAAGCGCCTTGGATATGAGGTATCTGTCTATAGGCCTTTGCCTTGCTGTCCCATGACATAAACTATGTGAACTGGTTCTCTACTGAAGTGGAGAAATCTCTATATTTGAGATTTACCTCTGAAAAAGCTGGTGTATCTGGCAACTTCCATATACCAAAGTTAAGTTATCATTGAGTTATTTTATCTATAGCTTCGTAGTTGTTTTTTTTATCAGGAATACATGTTCCTTATGGTTTAATAAATATACCACTGAACAACACAAATATTTCCTTCTTTAACACAGACAATTAGTTAAATGCATTATTGTGAAAAGCTAATGTAGATGATATAGCATGTGTGAGTGATGGGCAGGGCTCATATATTTCTATAATTCTCTGTATTGCCACCGGATGGAGCTGTAGGAGAGGAATGCAAAAGATCACCCTAATCTTAATTCTGGGCATGACAATACACACACCCATCCGTTTGGGAACACAGACATTTAAAAAATAGCCGCAAGTTGATTGTCACATTCTTGAGAGCCTCACCCTATGCAGGCTCAGCAATTTTACCCCAACACTAGGGCTTTACCCACGCATAGGTCAGCACTGTCCAATGCAGAGATTTACCATGAAGTCGGTTTCTGAGGAAAACAATGTTAAACATTTGCCCATAATTTGCTGATGGCATCTGAGTTTGGTAAAGTTGACAAGACATTCACAGATTCGAACTTCCAGGTTCAACAGCTGGTAAGCAAAGCGCTACAGAGTAGGTTCAGTGTCGGCTACCTCCTGTTGTTGTCAAAGTTTTTACAAGATTACAGTTTTAGACGTTGTAAACATAATTTGAGACCCACCAATTCATAATTAACATGAAAAAGACTGTCTGACTGATCATTTTTAATGTATTGTAAACTGTAGTGTAAAAACAATGTGTGGGTAGAAAACAGTTTGTCATCAATGTGTCCTTGGGCACGACGCTTAACTCCATTACTCCTGTAGCTGTGACTACAGTGTGTGAATGTGTTACTGACGTGCAGGTGCCACTGTGCATGGTAGCTCCTCTCATCAGAGTGTGAATGGGTGAATGATAACATGAAGTGTTAAAGCTCATTGAGTCGTCGGAAGAATAGAATGTAATCCAAATAAACGGACATATAAATGCATTATTATGCTTATATTTTATTCACATATTATGCAAATAATTGACATAAATATTAGGCTAAATACGTTTGAGTGTACACATGGAAGAAAAAAAAATATTCCTTTAATACATGAGTTTAAATACATGAAATTAAATTTTGTCATTTTGTCATAAAATAATGAAAAATGAAACAATCTCAGACTACGTCGCAACTATCATACGCCTAGTTGCACAATATTTTCGTCAATGGTATTAACTTTAAACCTAGTCTACAACCTCCCCCCTTCCGTGGCCACCCAGTCGTCAGTGAGGCCGCCCCAGCAGCCCACACAAACGCCGCCTACGCCCCTGCAGAGCATTGCCGTGAGAGCCCCGCTCCTCCAGCTCTACTGTACCGTGCACGGCCTGCTGCTGCAGCTACAGCTAATACTGGCGGAGGCGAGAATGACACCGGCGCTCTCCTGCAGCCAGACGACCTGATCGCTACGACGGATCCGTTTTACTTTCGAGATTTCAAAAGACACCTCAACGATGGCGTGCGTCATTCCACCTCCACGGACACATTTTGTCGCGGCTGTCCTTACATTCATGGCTCTGTGGGGATGCGCGCTTTCCATCAACCGGTACTCGATTCCGGAGGAGATGGAAGTAGGCTCCTTTGTTGCCAACCTTGCCACGGATTTGGCTCTGGATGTCCGCAGTTTCGTGCTGCGCAACGCAAAGCTCGATGTCATCCACAGCAAAAATTACATCGACATCAACAAAGAAACAGGGGAGCTGGTGATACGGGAGAAGATCGACCGGGAGAGCATATGCATGACTAAAGCGACCTCGTGCTTTATGAAAATGGATGTCATACTGGAAAACCCCATTCGCATTTTTAACATCGAGTTGGAAATCATGGACATCAACGACAACGCGCCGGTGTTCCGTAGAAGGACCATGCACTTGGACATATCGGAGGCGACCCCTCCCGGTGAGCGATTTTCATTGACAAACGCCGTGGATGCGGATGTGGGGGCGAACTCAATCAAGACCTACTATCTCAGCGAAAGCCGGTACTTCAACATCGACATACAATCCGGCAGCGACGGCTCCAAATATGTCGATTTGGTGCTTAATGGTCAGCTGGACCGAGAGGAGCACACGATTCATAATTTGATTTTAACCGCTGTGGATGGAGGGGTGCCTCCCCGCTCCGGCACAGCCAGCATCGTTATCAACGTCCTGGACATCAACGACAACGCCCCCCTGTTCAGTGAGCCGGTGTTTGCGGTTGACGTCTCGGAGAACACCGCCGCGGGCTCGGTGGTCATGACATTAAACGCAACGGACTTGGATGAAGGCACAAACGCTCAGCTAATGTACTCCTACACGCTGTACACCTCGGAGAAGACTCAAGAGCTCTTCTCGCTTGATCCAAACACAGGTGAGGTCAAGGTGAAGGGGGTGATCGACTTTGAGGAGGACCAGAGCTTTGAGATGCACATACAGGCTCAGGACGGAGGCGTGAACCCCAAGGCAGGGCACTGTAAAATCACGGTTTTTGTCACAGATCTGAATGATAACTACCCCGAGGTGACCATAAAGTCTGTGAAAAGTTCCCTGACGGAGGACGTCTCTGTGGGGACACTGATAGCCGTGATCAGCGTCAGCGACAGGGACTCTGGAGCCAACGGGCAGGTGGAGCTTGCCTTGAATCAGCAGGAATCTTTACCGTTCCTCCTGAACAAATCCTCAGAGGGTTACTTCGAGCTGCTGGTTTCAAAGCCACTGGACAGAGAGGTAAGAAGCAAGTATGACATCACGCTGAGGGTGACCGACAAAGGCTCGCCGCCCTTATCTGAAAACGAAACCATCACCTTGGAGGTTCTGGATATTAACGATAACACACCCGCATTTTCCCAGTCCTTCTACACAATCCATGTCGTGGAAAATAATCTACCTGGGGCGTTATTGACATCTCTTAGTGCGTTTGACCCCGATCTCAACGAGAACCAGTACTTAGTCTATTTCATAATGGAGAAGGAGATTGTTAACACGTCAATGTCAATGCTGTTTTCCATCAACCCTGAGAATGGTGATCTCTATGCCCTGAAGACCTTTGACTATGAGAGAGAGAGGGATTTCCTCTTTCACATCGAAGCTCGAGACTCTGGTGTTCCCCCACTGAGCAGCAATGTGACGGTTCACATCATCATCCTGGACCAAAACGACAACACCCCTGTCATAGTGTCACCTTGGCGGGCGCAGGGCTCTGTGGTAGAGGAGGTCATACCAAGGTCTACGGATAAGGGGCACCTGATCGCCAAAGTGATTGCCATTGATGCCGACTCTGAGCAGAACGCGAGGGTCACATATCAGCTCCTGCAGATCAGCGACGCCAGCCTTTTCAGCCTGGATCAGTACAACGGGGAGATCCGGACATCAAGGATGTTCAGTTACAGAGACCCAAGACAGCAGCGGCTGGTGATCGTCGCCAAAGACAACGGTCAGCCCGCTCTCTCAGCCACCGTCACTATCAAGATATCGACGGTGGAACACGTCAGGTCCTTTTCAGAGACCACAGAGCTGCCGCTAGAGTATGACGTCTTCACGGACCTAAACCTGTACTTAGTCATCGGTTTAGGGGCTGTCTCATTTCTTCTACTGATAACCATCTTAGTTATTATTGTGTTGAAGTGTCAAAAGCCAAAGCCAAAGGCCTTCAAGATTCCCCCCGCCAACAGAAACAGTGTGGTCAGCAGGAACAGCGTAATCAGCCAGAGAAGCTCCACCATCGCAGATTCCACCTTGATCTCCAGCGATGCCTACTGGTACAGTTTGTTCCTTGCTGAGACCAGGAAAGGCAAAGTGGTCATGAGACAGCCGATAATTCCCAAAGGAGCTGGGTATTTTGTGTCCAGTATACCCAGGAGCATAGGGCCAAGTGAGACCACAGACTCCAGAGCATCCACACTGGAGGTATGTATGAATTAATGAGTAGCAGGAAGCATGCAGACAACACAGGAACGCAGAAAAGGCACAACAAATTGGTGTGTTCAGCGACCTACCGTAGTGTAAATAGTTACTAAATGCCGTGATTTATTTTACCCTGCAAGGATATTTGTTGTATGTAGATGCAACTGGTAATACTGTAATATTTTCAGGTTAAAAGAATTGCCTTTGCTAGAGTATGATTCTAACATTTCCATTTCCATTTTTCTCAGTGTAAAGTATCAATCATTTTTGTTTCTTGTTGTTTTCATTCATACAGACAGTAATACAGATTTTAAACATAAGCTTAATCTATTATAACGTTAGTTAACAATGTCTACCTTGATCAGCTAGAACATTACAATGCCACTGCACAATGATTCATCAGTATTGAGAAGATCATAACGTCTGATACAGTATAATAGTTACAGTTCTCTGCAGAAATACCTTCAGTCAAGATGTGAGTGCTTCTCCCATCACTGTAACTGTCATCACACATGCTTTAAAATTAATTTAGGCTAGCACAAAACACACTAACAAAGAATACAAATGCCATTGGATTTGGGATCATTGATGGATTAACATGTTCATCACTTTAATGTGTCAGTTTGGGAAGGTGGAATTTTAATTACTTGTGTTAAAAGTGTTTTTTTTTGTCTAGTGCAAATTAAATATAACGCAAACAAAATCAGCAACAGGAAAATGGTACAGTACTGCATTAGGTCCAAAATTTTTCCAAGACATTACTACTGCACCACAAATAAATTACAAAAATAGGCATGTTGATTATTATCAGCGTATTTTTAGCGCAAACAAACAACTGGAAAATGTGCCGCTGTTCAATGTCTTATTTATAATGTAGGTCATTTGTTGCAGATGCATTTCACACCATCAGAGGATAACTATGTCCTGTGTAAGAGGGGGTGGGAGTACTTCAAAGACACCCATATATGGAGTTGTCTTCAAAGACAAGAGATAAACTGCTGTACCGAGATGCGCCGTGCTGGGGGTCTGTGGTGTCTCCAGCAGCGCTCATACACACGGTAGACTGCAATCAACGTAGAAGCGCTGTGAAACCGATCCAGATGTTGTTTGCCTTTGTGCAGCTGGACCTGCAGACTAAACAGCAACAAGTCATCCACTGAAAGACTAAACAATATGAATATGCATAAATGCACGGATGCATACATATAAAGAGAGAGATTATGTGTATGTATTCTTCGTGTGTTCAAGTTTCACACCTACCACTGAACTTGTCTCTTTCTTCTGTTCTTAAGTACTCAAAATGACAGGAAGTCCATTCTACAACTGGAGGTATGCTGGTTGCTGACTACATTCTGTAGAGCCACTATGATTGTGTAGACGTTTACTATCCTCTCCTATTTGGTATCCATTCTTGGTTTGGCTCAACGATCTGGTTTGATAAACTCTCACAGTTTATGATGCAAATATTTGGCGCAATCCTTTGGACAACACAGTGTCCTGATTAAATAGAGCAGAATCAAATATTTCCATTTGTCCCAGGTGAGGCTCTGTCCCTCACAAAAACCACACTCAGTGTGGGTCAGTACAATTTAAATTGGCCAGTCTCTCGAGTGCAAAAAGCAGCTTACTGCGGACTGAGATTAGAATAAAATTGGCTGCTGGTCAGACCTGTGTTGTACACATCTGGCTGGCCTGGCGGAGATTGAGGGCTAAGTGACGACATAGATTGAAAAAAAGAGAGAGAATGATTTGTCCCAAATAGGTTCTCAGCATGTAACATACCTGAAAGCACAGATCGTGTCAACTAACTCTGCATCCTTGCACATGAGCTCATAGTTATGGCCTACAATAATAATATGGAACCCATTTCCCTTTTAGTTTTAGTATTGGCCCACCAAATACCAAATGACCCACATGACACCTGCCTGTGCATGCTTTAATTACACCATTTGCTTTCCTATTATAGTTAATAAGTTTGTCATATTCTATTCTAGCTGTGTATGTCCGTCTGATTTCCATAGTAAAAAATGGAATCATCAAACAACACTGATTTAAGACCCTAAATCCAAAATGAATGATGGTGGCAGTAACCAGTCACAATCCATTGTTGCATGAGTGAGGACTTTCTATAAGTTTATATGCAGGTTGACTTAATGTGTGGACTAATTCTATATTCTGTCTCTCAGCAGCTGCCCAGAAGAGAACGGCCATGATATAATCGTATCTTCACGAGAAGTCTCTGACTGGAATGTTTCCCTGTGACTCATAAAGAAGATGTGAAACATCTGTCCACCCTCAGTCCCTCCGCTCCAACTTGTTCTTTCTCTCTAGCAAATAGCAACATCGACCACGAACCACCTCAGCTTTCTACCTTCTTTTGTCTCTTAAGCATGGATCTGCATGATTCTACAATATTTGAAATATTTGGACATAGGATTGAAATCATTTATGGCAAGACATTTTGACATTGCTCTCAGACGTTGCCTCATGTAGTAAATAATTCCCTCCCTAAAGCGTTAAAACTCCTCGGTGGACATATTTGCCTTCTCTCCAGGGTTTACTCTGTGTGCTGTAGTTCTAGAACCCATCAGTAGGTTAACATATACATAAGTCGCAATCATGCAACCTTTTATAAGCAAGAGCTGAAAACACGCCTATTCACAAATACACGTATGAACCAGGGTGAATATGATTCTTCCGTAAAAGGCTGATAAATGCTGAACTGTAGCTGGTCACTGATTCAGGCTTTTCACTCGGTGTTGATCTTTTCTGAATAGTATTTTCTACCGTATCATGAGTCTTTCTACTCAGCAAGATTCAGAGTCAATTCGTAACTTGCTGATAAAATATTCACTGATCGGACTCTTTTTTTTTTACGATGTTTGTTCTATTCAACAGTGATGAATGTGTGAAATGACAAAAAAAGAATGAAAGAAAGCAAAAAAAAAAACGACATCCATAATTCTAACTTTATTTGATTGTAGATAATTTAGTTCAATTAAAATTATATGAGGTCAGAGATGCAAATGACTTTTGATGACCTCACTAACATCAGGTGGTCAGTTCATAGCGTATTGACATATGTGTTGTTATATTTAAATCGGACACATTGTTATCTAGCAGTATTCGGGAGTTACAAAATACAGTGTTTGAGGTTGAATGCAGGAGGTATGTCCTCATAAGTTTCTTATTCAGAGGCTCTATGACATCACACACAAATTCCCACCAATAGATCGCTACCGAATATTTACCGCAATAATTCAATGCACACAGTGCGAAAAATGTAAGAAAATATAATGAGCGGGAAAAAAAAATGTTAAACTATGAAAATGTATGACCTTTACCATGGTACAAGGGGGTATTCGATCCATTTATAGTATTTATTTATAAATATTCCTGTTTTTATAGATATTTTATGTAACTACATTTTATTGCTGCTTTTGTGAGCTTCTTCAAGGGCATTTTGTGTTGCATATTTGTAGTTTAGTGCATATGATGTAATTTTGCCTATATAAGTTACAAATTGAAACTAGAGTACTTTTGTTGACCTCAGAAGGTAGTGGTGTTGCACTACTGTGAAGACCAGGACTTACATTTCTCAGACAAGGTGCTCATGAGGACCACTTATTAGGGTGCTAAATAATAGAGCCTAATTCTGTGAGGTAGGGAGACGGGATTGAGTGAAGGGGAGCAAATTGCTAGTTCTAGTTACAGTATTCTAGAGCTGACTCTGCAAGTAAAAAAAAATAGGCAATGCATAAGAAGTATTAAGCAGATCACAGCACTTTGAAATATGCACCACATATAAATGTGATCGCAGCACTCACTCGGTAATGCAGCTGAGAGAGAACATTTCTGAGTAAGTGAAATCTAACCTCCCTCTCTCTCTCTCTCACTCTCCCCCACTGATGCCTGGTGCTGGTGGTGCACCAGCCATCCCAGACATAATCACAGCTGTCTGTCAGACTAAAGATGTCACTTAATGAGGGATCTCTTGCTGTGGAGTACATGTTATGTGTGCAATCAACGCCTGAACCGGTTGAATCCAACAGTGTTTATGAAAGAATATTTTAATGAATTGCACATACGATGAGCTCCTTGCGTGCCTTCTGCATTGAAAAAGATATATGTGACTGTTGTTGAATGAAATAAAGGCATGTCATACATTACAAATTACAAAAACGACAGTACCCAAATGACGAACACGTTGCTGAATACGAGCTCAGCCTTTTGGTTTCATGTTCTACTGAGAACCGGTAAATGCATTTACTGTAAATTGAACTGCTTTATACTCTGTGTTTTTTATACATTAGACGTTTTTGATATCTATCTGTCTTCACTGTGATCAAATGGCGCAGGAGGTCCTTGTGCTTGGTATAGTAAAAATGTGTTATTTCTCAATTGTATACACCTAATTTTTTTTCTTCTGCTAATTTGCCAGTAAAATTGTACAGTATGCTTTGGGAGTTGCATCAAAACCAATCCAGTTCCATCTCACTTAGTGGATCAAAGACAGTATGGGAGAGAATGGTCTCGCTTTATTTTCAAGTCTAGTTAATTGTCAAGTTTTTGATGTTGCTTATTTGGCTTAAATGTTCTGCCTGATCATGCTAGTTTGAATAAAGCATTTTAGTGTCTCTTCTGTTATCCCTGTGATGAAATATGAAACAGTTATCAGAAGTGTCTTCTGGAATATAACACACTCACTCTCTCTCTTTCTCATTTGCTCTCTAAAATTCCCCTTGCATACACACATTTTGACCCAGTTTCTCTGTATAAGGCTCTGTACTAATTCTTGGAAATTGAAAAAGTGAATAAAGGCGATGGGCCTGCAGTTCAAATCGCAGAAGCAGACAAAATAGCTTTGTCAGGATTAATGAAAGCCCAGAGCCAAACTGTGAAGTCTTCTCTGACCACACATGCATTTCACTCTGCTGTCCTAAAGGAGATTGGTGAGTGAGGGCCATATAAATCTGTATGATTTGAGTCGAATCCCATTATTAACTATGGTGTCAAGTCTGTTTACTGTAGTAATATCCATTTGTTGAAAGTATTTGCTTTGTATCACAATGTATTGCTATCCAATAACCAGGTTTAATTACAACTATATATAGTATGTTGGATAGGTTGTGAACCAATGGATTACACCCGTCTTCCAAGCACTTTGCAACACAGGCACGGCTGCATTAAGGGCCTTAAGGTCTGCTGGTTAGTTGTTCTTTAAAAGGAGTGGAAGTAGGTCAGAACAAACAAAGCATTACACTTTTGGCTACCGTCAAGTATTCTGTAATACTTCCATCAATTCACCTCTCTGCTAGGCTACATTTTCCGAACTAGTGCTCTCCATGGCCTAAAATGTGTGGCAACCCAGCTGTGAGACAGCAGGACACTGCAGTAAAACAAATTCTACCTTTTATTATATTGTTTACTTCACTGTATGCAAGATAAAAGGTGCCCTGTAATTTATTTGACCACAGATTTTTTCAGCTATTTCTCGCTACACCATCCCAGGTAAGAACAATAGAAAGTAGGTCTGCTGACCACACATCTCCAATTTGCTGAGCACTTGAAGTTGTATAAATGGTGTGACATTACTTTACGTCAGTGTCCTTTTGCAGGCCAGAGAAATGTAGGTCAGGTGTCCTGTAATCCACATGTGTGGCCCTATGATGGGCTTGTATATCAATTTAATGTGTATCACTCACAGACAAGCTAGTTAACCGTCTCCCCTCGAGAGGTAAAAATTGCAAGCTTCGTCAAATGATGCGTTGTGGTCAGGAAAAGGTATACAAACCCTTATACATCATCAGTATTTCTTTATGCTGTGCGTTAATTTCTAGTCTGTGTCACAAAGAGTACAAGGAGGAGAGGAATAGCTAGAGCACAGGAGACGGTTTCTGGTATTCAGACTTAATGTAAACCAACAAGCGACAGGAAACCGTGGAGCCTGTACGTGTGTAACTGGAACACCTAGTTGACCATAATATCCACTGTCTTCTGAGCTGAGGGGAGTTTAGGTTCAGCGAGGAAGTAAGCTGCCTTGGAGAAGTGGTCAACCACTGTGACGATCAGTGTTGGGCAAGTTACTGAAAATGAGTATTTAGTTACAGTTACTAGTTACTTCTTTTAAAGGTAATTGAATTACTTACAAGTTACTGTGTATCAAAAGTAATTAGTTACTCTGGGAAGTAACTTTTAAGTTACTTTTATGTCTGCTTTTTAAATGTAATGAATATAAATAGTACTGAACAGTCAAACACAATGAACATATTTTTTAGACCTATTTATTGTAATCAACAGGGCAACAGGCCTTCAAATCAAGCAATAGTACAAAAGTCCTTTTTAATACTTAACTTAATACAAAATAACTGTTTCAGGCATTTTCCTGAAGGCAACTGACTCGACAGTTGACAGGATGCATCTCATCTTCAACATACCGAGCAATCAATCTATTCAGCTCTGCCCGGTTTATCGGCTGCACTGCAGTCCGTGTAAAGTGGAGCCGTGGTTGTTTGCGTGGAGCGGCGCCTGCAGCATCCGCGGGCCTGCGCTCTTCAAAAAAAATTCTTTGTTACATGCTCGTTACCGCTAAAAGTAGTGGAATTACAGTAATGCGTTACTTTGTAACGCGTTACTCCCAACACCGGTGACGATGACCGTGTTCCCTTGCGAGGTTGGCAGACCTGTGACAAAGTCCAGGGCATTTGGGACCAGGAACGATGTGGTACCGAAAGGGGTCGCAGCAAACGGGCAGGGGGATGAATGCTCGCGTCTGCCTACAGCGAGGTCCACCAAAATGTCCGCTGAAGCAAGTCAATGGTACATCTGATGCCTGGATTGACAGGAAAACTGGGAGGTATGCGCCCATTGGAGCATGGAGTGTGCAGGCGTGGGAACAAAAAGGCGGCCGAGCGGCCCGCCTCCGGCATCTGGCTGGGTCCAAAGGGCGGCCTGCACCACTAATTCAATCTCCCAGGTGAGAGAGGCTACCACACTATGTACACACATGTACTCCAAGTTCTTATGGTCCGTCCAGACCACAAATGGACAGGGAGCTAGTGTTGTGTGCTCATATTTCTGGACTCTCATCAGGATCTTGGCAGCGCTGTAGTGCGCGGATGTAGTTTCAGGATATTCTGAAAAGTGAGTTACAGTAGTCCAGTCTTGAGGAGATAAAAAGGCATGGGCGAGCTTCTCTGCATCTGACAGGGTCAAAGTGTGGGGGGGGGATGACCATTCAAGGTCGGGGTCAAACCTAACTCCCAGATTGGTAACTGTGGAGGAGAGGGGGAGACAACGGAGGCTGGCAGAACAACGGTGTGATGTCCTGTGGCCTGACATCAGCGGCAGGCAGATAGAACAGTTGCTCTACACCAGGAGAGGAGAGCGATTTAGTCCACACGCTGTCCAACAACTACAAACAGAAGACGATACGGACTGACAATCAAGGCCTGCAGACCAGGATTGATATACTGCCGGTGCTAATGAGTCTGCAGCTGTGCACCATTCGGGGGTGTGGCACATGAGAAGAGGAGAGAGGGAGACAAAGGTTAACACACAATAGGTCAGAAAGGAATCCAGACACTAGAGCTGGACTTGCAGAGAGCGGCGTATTGATCCAGTAAGTGTGTTTCACGACTGAGTACGGGATTTGAATATCAAAAATGGCTTTTGTGGTGTTTTGGGTAAAAGTCCCCAACTCCAATCCATAACCCTTAACTGTTGCTAATCTCACGTGGTGTTTTGTTAGTTAAAACCATGATCCAAGTACAATCGCAACAATTGCAGTCAGTGTGAGATATGCTGTGGAGGCGCGACCCGTTTATGTGAGTGAGTCAGATCAGCGTAGACGATGCCCTGGCTGGGGCCCACGCACGATGGGGTCATGAGTTCTAACACCTAGAGCCTCGGTTCCCACGACAGCTAGTAGTCAATTGAGCAATTGTCCAATGCTATGCTGCTTGAGCAGAAGTCTGCGAGACTACTGATGGAATTTTATCATTACTGTGACTGGGATGCGCAAGAAGATAAAGCATTTATTGTATTGCGACAGAAATGGATAGGAACAGGATGTTGCTCCGATTTAAATATGCAAGCTGGGAAAGACGGGAATGTGAATCTAATATTGCATCTGAAAAGCGTGACACACTAGCTCTCTGCAGACCACATCCGTCCTGTTGCCTTGATCTTACACCCGTCACATCTTGTTTTGATGAGGCAAAAGCTGCTTTTGATTTGAAAGAATTAATGTCTTACATGATTGTAATATTTATACATGGAAGTGTATACATGAATAATAAACGGACTTCACATTCACTGGGGAACCAGTCTATGCTGATACGGTGGTCAGACTGATGGAGAAGCCTAAGGTTAGTGCAGTGAGATTTAGGCTCCATCTTGAGTGACGCCTGTGGCGGGTTTATTTTATGTGTGGCTGCCCTTGCCAAAGGGTCACTGCTGCACACGCTTGTGTTGGCCATTCTGTGCTGGCTGTTTCAGATGACTGCATGGAAGCTGGAATCCAGCACAGATATATATTATAGACTATATGTTTTGTCCAAAACGTTACTCAACATCCTCACTGCAAGAGCCATGTTCATGTCTTGTAGCTTTAAGACAATCACTATCACGTGTGATGGACAGATGGACAGACGGACAGGTAGACAAAGACTTGCTCAAGGACACCACAGCTGTCTCTCAAAAGTCATAAATATGTCCTGTTGCTTTGTAACTCAATGTCAAATTGCATATTTTAATTAAAAATATACATTTCCAAGGAATTTCACAGTGCTCTCAGTCATTTCATCATATTGGTTTTTAAATAATTGTTTTGTGTTGAGGCAGAATATCAAATTTAGAATGTTGATCACAATGGGCACAGAAATATTCATTAAATTGTTGTTGCTATAGAAACACATATTCATCTTATGTAACAAATCCAAAATAGCTCTTAAAACCAGGCAGGTGAACATTCAGAAATGCATATTTGAAAAGGAATACATATTGTGTCTATGCGACTGTGCAGACATTTGTTTGTTTTTCCTTTTCATTCGCACATTTTTATTGATGTATTTCTGGTGACAATACAAAACAAACAGATTGTTTTATTAAAACAACATAAAATGGTGGTCCAGCTGCATAGATTTTACAGAGCCGACATCATGGCCCTCCTCCATTAGATTTATTCACCCAGGGATCTATTCTGCTCAAGGCTATCAGGACAGCATTGCACTGCCAGCTGTTGTGACCGACTTTGCTCGTCGGTTTTGGATGAATTTCTCAGACTCCCTTAGCTTCAGCCAAAATACTGCAGCACTCACAGCGACATGGTTGTAATGATCCTTAATCTTCAGTGGGTTTGTTGCACATGGCTAAAACACAGTTTACAGCTAGTGTTACTCGTCACTGACCTAAAAAGCTATCAGCCCTGAATTCAGTGGTATCCTTCCAGTTTCCTATTTTGGTACATGAAGCAATGGCCACTAATTAAGGCACTGCCTGAACGGTGTTATCTCTAGGCTCTATCCCAAATTGTACACAAGAGAGCCATGGTTACTGACCTAGTAATCCCTGTTTACTCTCATTTTGTATGACTCACTTACTCGTTCAATGTTTCCATAATACTGCTTGTTTTGAAAATAAATAATACAAACATTTTCCCAAATGAACGTGTGAAGCAACCCAAGTATATTTCATGGTAAAGCCAAATCTTTATGGAGCATTAAAGTTTTTATATCACAATGTCTCGTAACAGTGAATATAATGCATTCGAACGATTAGATGTATAACAACAATGGGAATTATAACACACTGGGATCCTTGCAAACAATATTAATAAGTCATTGAGTGACCAACAATTATGAAGCATTATAAGTGACTTACATAAATCCATAATACCATTTGCCATTATGTTTGTAGTATGGACATGGCTGGTACAGACAGTGTTACAGTCAATTTCCGTAACACATACATGTGTGGGAGCTCCAGTCACTTGATTGTTGTGTGCATGTATAACAACATTAACATGAAATCTTAGACATCAATAAATAACAAATCATCTTAATTAAAATAGGAGTTGGCCAATTTTGCATGTTCACCATATCCATATGAATTAGACTATGAATATGACTATTGTGAGATCTCATTAACCAACTCGGGGGGATCGGAGATCCCGACACTATTCAGATTAATCCAGATACAAAGTGGTGCTTTGACACAACCAATCACACATTTTTCCGCTTCCATTCAGCTCATACTATATGACTGAAATTGCTTTTAAAAAGTTCAAAACAATCTTCAACCATTTATAGGGAATAATAAATATGTTTAAAACAACTTGTGGTGCTAACGGTTAAAATAAAGAGAAAATGAGCCTGGAGCTTCTGGATCGGGAGAAAACCCTGTTAAAGCCAAATAAAAGAATTGTTAAAAAAGGTCCAAATAACACTCAACCACGCAGTGAATAGAGTCCCCTAAAGCAGACGTATGATAACCCCTCTTTAAGCTCCGCAAAGAGAGATAACACATTGGGAAGATTGTAAATAAACACTCATGAATTAAGAAAAAACAAGCAGCCTCTTGAACTGGAACAGGAACAATTGACCCGCAAACTCTGGCACAACATCAATGTGGACTCACTTGTGCATTACATTATTTTGGCATGTTTTTTCATGAGATTTGACCATTTGGGTCGTGAAGTTCAATTAACAGAATAAATGAAAAAAGGGAAATTGTTGCATTTCTTGAAGAGTGAAAACCTACAATACGTGAGAACAGAACACCCATGTGGGCTTCCTGTGAGAAGTGAAGCCTGCAGCACTGCATCATGCATGCTAATTAATCCATTCCAGACTCAGTGGCGGCTGGTGGAATTGTTTTTTTTTTTGGTAGGGCCAGCCAATCAGTTTCAGTAAACATCCCAGTATGATTAAATCCCCCAAAAAGATATCAAATACTCATTAATACTTTGCAGGTAAGTATTTAACATTTATTCCAAAAGTTTAACATAATAATTATTGACACAATTCAGTATATTACTTATATATATATAAGAAAACATATAAATAAAACAATATTCAGTGTAAGATATAACTACCATGTTGTAAATTTTATTAATATTCATTATAAATTTAATGAATATCATATAATAAATATATTATATTAAAATATAAATATATTTATAGAAAATCTAATAGAACATGTATATATATAATATATATATATTGAGATGCCCCTATGAACCTAGTTTATTGGACACCCGGTGTTGAGGAAAGACCCACTCAAAAGCCCCACAAAACTTATAAAATGTCCCTGTTTTCATCCACGTCCTCGTTGTGTGTCCTCAACGCAGTCCTGTGTCCATCGCAGCTGGGTAGCGATGTTAACTTTCCCTGTTAACACGGCGAGCGTAACAGTTATCACTGCGGTCAACCAGCCTCCACTTCCAAACAGTCAAGCCTGCACGTTACTTTGCGGTTTGCGTCTATACAGACGATAGTGGTTTTAATCCGTGTGTGTCCTGGTGTTCTCTATCGTTTTCTTTTCAACAAGTGCTTTATGTCCCTTACGTCCATGCTGGATTCTGTCCCCGTTGATTTAAAAAGTGAGCATGGCAAACTAAACACGGTGTTAGCGTGTAACTTCGTATGTGTGGCTTCCACGGGAGGTCAGGCTGATTAGGGTCCAGCTGTTTTACTGAGTTTCTCCAGCAAAGTTCTTCTCTCAAACTGGTCTTGGAGGAGAGAAAGTACAGAGTTCGGGTCGGGTCTTTTCGGAAGAATACTCGTCCTGCTCACCATTTTTATATTGTCAAAACGACGTGTGGCACCATAGCCCTGACGAGAACACAGCGTAGGGCTGGCGAAGGGCTGGCCCAAAGCTGAATGTATTTTAGGACCGAAGTTATATGCCCCTCATTTATCTTTAATCAGTGATTGGCTAAACTGCTTCATAGACCCGGCTCTTTGGGACATGGCCCGAACGCTGCTGAGACATGCTGACAAGTGGCGAGGATGTGCAGGAAAAGCATATATTTTGGGCAGATATCTTATTTTACAAATATTACTGGGTATATTCCATGTAGATACATATTGGCTATTTGTAAAAATGTTTACTTTAATATAATAAAAAACTATTATCATCTTTTTTGTGTGGCTCACGGTGGGGCCGCGCCCCATGGCACTCTATGAACCAGACGCCAGACTGTTTATTCCACACCCTCATCTTTATTTCCTAATGCTCATATATAACCCTGTGTTTCTTTTCGGGATATGTTCCATAGAGAAGAAAGGAGACCTCTGCTCTGTGGGGACCACCACGGGCATCAAATACGATTATGTGACCTGACAGTCTGAGGTCTACTGACAGTGATCCATGTGGAGGGAAGGCTGTGATTGTCAGTGCAATGCTTTCTGTCCTCTGCGCCTTGCCCAAATGCTCGCCATGCGGTAAGGCCGCGCTGCAGAATCGCTACCGGCAAAATTAACCATCACTCCGACTCCAGGACAGACAAAGGGAGACAAACATAAGCCAACCCCCACGCATGTGTCCATGCGTGCGACCACGATTTTGTCACGTATATCTTCCATTTTAGGTGGAGTTGAAAATTCTGCAGGCTCCCTGACTTTGCCTCCATGCTCAACAGTGATAAATATAGATTAAATTGTTTAGCTAAATCCTTGTGACATATTTAGTATTTCTCACCATATATGCCCACCCATGTGTTGAACCGCGACTCAGCTATATGGAATGCACAGCCAACACACATATGCATGTGTATTACTGCTATTTTGTATCCATTATAAATTATGAATGTGCCTTAATGTGCTGGTCACTTATTATTTCCAAGCCCGACACCGATATCGCAATGGACGGACGAGAGGAGAGAAAATGGGTGTGGATTGAATGGGAAAGCTGCGCCACAGTGGAGAGGGTAGAGCTGGAGTCTGAGAGCGCGCTGGGGTGGGATACTCCCACCTTCCCAAGGTCAAGACACCAGCATTCAGTCACATAGCTTCCGGTTACTGTTTTCAGAATAAATGTAATACATATCAAAAGGCATAACGTACAAGAAACTATGAGTAACTGTAGCTGTTAAGACCCTGTCTTATCGAAGCTCCTGACTTGACACGATTATTATTTTCTCCATTCTCATAGAGCCGATTGAAAGGACAAATAGGGCCCTTTTTGACCGTTTTGTTCTGAAGGAAACACGCATCCTTTCCGGTTTCATTGGCTCAAATTTCAGCGGTCTTGACAGATCTCACAGCTCCGGAGGCAGAGAAACACACCCGTCAGCAGCGCGCATTGGAGACACAAAAAAAGCGTATCACGGACAAAGGAAATATGGGTGCGCTGGAGAGGATCCACCACGGCCGGGTAACACAATGGATGAGCCGCATGTGTTTTATTTGCCGGGAGACCAATTAGCGCACCTTAATGAGGTGCTGGGATGCAAGATACTGCAAGCTAAAAAGACGGAGGGGTGCGTTTAATCCGTCTGCGGATCCTGTGAGCTTGCAATGGCTGTCGCGGGAATATATAAGTGGATAGGGAGTGATGTGCCTTTTTATTTTATGATATTTTCCTTATTTTGTGGCCTTTCGTTTGGACAATTACGATATTCAATTACGGAAGAACTCGAAAATGGGGCACTGGTCGGCGATCTGGCGCAGGACTTGGGGCTGGATATTCGGAAGCTCGCCAGTCGAAAAATTAGGGTAACCTCCAACAGCGGTAAACGCTACGTGATTGTCAACCCCAAAAATGGGAAACTACTTGTCAATGAAAGGATCGACAGGGAGTCACTGTGCGATGCGTCCAGCACCTGCCTCATCAATTTGGAGCTGATGGTCGAGAACCCCAGTGAGGTGCACCACGTCGAGGTGGAGATTGTGGATGCCAATGACAATGCGCCGCAGTTCCCCAGTGATGAGTATCAAGTGGAAATCACAGAATCTGCTTTACCGGGGTCCCGTTACCCAATCGAAAATGCCCAAGACCCAGACATTGGCTCCAATTCAGTTCGTATGTATCAGCTTAGCACAAACGACCATTTTGCGCTGGTATCTAACAAACCCTCGCTAAACACAAAGCACATCGAGCTTGTGCTTAAAAAGCCCGTTGATCGTGAACAGACGCCTTACCACCAAATCATTCTGAGTGCTGTGGATGGTGGGTCACCAGAGAAAACAGGCACAGCCAAAATCAATATCCGGGTTCTGGACTCGAATGACAATGTGCCCAAGTTCGACAGCTCAGTCTACAAGGTGAAACTCTTGGAGAACTCGCCCAAAGACACACTGGTGATTAAACTGAATGCGACTGATCTAGATGAGGGCACAAATGGAGAGGTTTATTACTCTTTCAGCAGCTACACTCCAGAGAGAGTAAGGCAGATGTTCAGCATGGACACTAACTCGGGAGAAATAAGAGTGAGGAGCAATGTTGACTATGAAGAGACCAACTCCTACGAGATGTACATTCAGGCAATGGACAAGGGCCCCGGGGCCGTGGCGGCACACTGCAAGGTGGTGGTAGAGGTAGTGGATGTGAACGACAACGTCCCTCAGATTGTTCTCTCATCTCTGTCCAGCCCTGTGAGGGAGGACGCCCGCGCAGACACAGTGGTGGCCCTCATTAGCGTCACTGATCGAGACTCGGGCGCTAACAAGCAGGTGAGCTTGGAGATCCCAGCAGGCCTTCCTTTCAAGATCAAGTCATTCAGAAATTACTACACTCTGGTTACCTCAGCTTTCCTGGACCGCGAGACCACCGATGCCTACAACGTCACTTTGAGTGCCACCGACGGAGGAAACCCTCCCCTCTCTTCACAGAAGACCATACAGGTGGATGTGGCAGATGTAAATGACAACCCGCCGCGATTTGAACAAACTTCGTATACCGTCTACGTGATTGAGAACAATGCCCCTGGGGCCTCTTTGTGTACTGTGAAGGCACAAGACGCAGATATCAAAGAGAACGCCCGCATCACCTACACAGTGCTCAACGACAACAACCATGGCATCCCTGTCACCTCGTATGTGTCTGTGAAGGCCGAAACAGGCGAGGCTTATGCCCTGCGAGCCTTTGACTATGAGTCACTGAGAGAGTTTCACTTCCAGGTCAAAGCCCAAGATGGGGGCATTCCTCCACTCAGCCGCGTTGCCACTGTCTACATCTACATAATGGATCAGAATGACCACGCACCACTGATAGTTAGCCCCCCTGGCAACGGCACACGCTCCTTAGAGACGGTACAAAAGAACGCAGAGCCTGGCGCCATCGTGACCAAAGTGGTGGCATACGATGCCGACGCTGGTCCGAATGCCTGGCTGGTGTACGTGCTCGAGACAGCCACTGACCTGGACTTGTTCAAGGTGCACCAGCACACAGGTGAGATCAGGACCACTCGGAGGATCCTGGAGGACAACTCCACCTCTTTTGCTCTCACCGTTTTGGTGAAGGACCATGGGCAGCCTAGTCTCTCCTCCACTGCCACCATAAACGTGGCTGTAATGGAGGTGCCCCCCAAAGTGGCCCCTGACCCCAAGCGCATCATCCGACCACACAGCACGCTGCTTTTCTCCAACGTAACCCTCTACTTGATCGTGGCTTTGAGTGCCACCACCTTTGTATTCCTAGTCACTGTGGTGGTGCTAGCCATAGTCCGCTGCCATGCCTACTGCACCCAACCTGGATCCTGCTCCCCATGCTGCGTGTCACAGAAGCCCCCCCCAGATGGTGGGAGCAGCAGCGTGAGTGCCGGCGCAGTAGTCGGTGGCCCACCCGGGGCACAGCCTAATAGCAATGTGATGCTACGTAGAGACCTTAAAGTTGAGCCTCACTACATCGAAGTGCGTGGGAATGGCTCCCTAACAAAGACGTATTGCTACAAGACCTGCCTAACAGCCACCTCCGGCAGTGACACGTTCATGTTCTACAACACAGGGCGTCCCATCAGCGGCACCTGGGGCAGCGGGGCTGACCGCTTCTTCACCAGTGGAAGCGGATTTGTACGCAGACTGAGTATGCCCGATGCCTCCATGCAGCTCTGCCCAGAGGTGAGTTGTTCGGGTTTTTTACGCATACCTCGTTTAACTGGGATCATGTTTGCAAACTGAAGGCTTCAATTACATTTAAATAATCTCCGAACAGTGTAAGACCATTTTTAAGTACATACTTAAGATCACTTTTCGTTAAGGTTTCAGAACACCATGTGTTATCATCGTCTTCCTGTGTGTCATTGAGTTGCTGCAGGGTTACAATATTCCTGCATGTCAAGTTCAATCTCTTGCAACAAATCGATTCCTTCCTCGCAAGCCTCATTCTCTTTGTTCAGGTCCCACTTGTACTGTGCTGTCGCTCAGCCTAGCCCAGCACTCCCACTGCATTAGTGTCAAGCCTGATGCTTTTCAGGGTCCTATGCACTTTTCTGATGACTCAGAGATTTGTGTTTCGGTTTGAGGTTGTCATCACATCTACTCTAGGAACAGGTCACGTAGTCTTTGCTACTGGCTCATTCTCTGTGCAAATGCGTTTGACTTGTGTGTGTGTGTGAGTAAAACTGTTATACTAAATCCAGTTGGGTTAATTGACTGTTAAAGCCCCTGCAGGACTAGTTTCTGTTTCCTATGACCATGAGAGAGATATGCATTTACCTTCTGCCATTTTATTTTCTAAATTTTAAAGGCTGCTTTACTTCACGGGATATTTTTCTCTATTTAAGATTTGATTTGAGAATTATTCTTCCTGCTAGACCTTACCTTTCGGTACAGTCACACCTAAATACAATTTATACAGGTAACATTTAAGAAATACTTTGCTGTTTACCATTCACCAATCGTTTAGTCCTTAAAGTTAAAACATTTATTAGTTGTTTACATAGGAAACATGTTTTGCTTTTATGCATTATATCCATTGAAGTTAGAGATATTAGTAATAATATAAATAAAAATACTGGAATGATATCATTTTAACTTTAATTGAAATATTCCTAAGGTTAAGAGTTCATTTCTGGGTGTAGCATGGATGAATGAGAAAATCTTTTAGCAGGACAAGTGTAGCGGAGTAAATTATATTAAAAATCATATTAACATATGAATTATATTATGTTCCTCAGCCCTACAAATTCAATTTAACCAAAGAGGCTGTATCTGCCAGCAGAAAACAATTGTTTCTACAAAGAATGTGGAACTTAATGTGCCATATTTATCTAGGACACTTGCTACTGCCTTAGCAGGTTTGTCTTTTAAAAACAGATTTTCTTATTCAGTGTTCTTAAGGTCCAGGGCTACAAACCTACATAAGGCTGAGGGACTTTAGCATTCACGCAGATGTTCATAACCATTTCATACAGTTGATGTGTGCACTCCTTAGTCATGGGTAAAGTAATGAGTAGGCATAATCAGGCATAATAAATGGCCATGAAAGATTGGCTCATTAAAATATGTGTTTCCTCCCAATTAGACTTTTTGTATGAAGTTCTTTGAATTTAAAGGTATAATCATCAGCAGAATTAGGCCATCATCAAAGGCAAACAAATGGCAGTAAATTCCAATACTCCAAAATATATTCACCCTGAAACTCTAACACAAGGAAGATGGAATAAAATGAAATCAGTTTGTACAAGACAATAGTGATCATATGTAAAATTTTATTGATGATTTTTTTTCACACATTGACTTGCACTAAATGATACACCTTAGCAATACATCATCAGTATACAAAAGGCCATTACTTTTTGCCAAGACCAGACCTATAGGAGGCGGTTGCCCCTGGCGACGATGGCTGTGGCTCATTGGTTTTTAAAGGCAATAATTTACCAGAGAACTGCTGGGAGTCGAATGCACTCAGTCCGGGTTCATCAGGAGCAGACAAATACTCAGTCCCCCCACTAACATGTAAACATCGTTCTGTTTAAATATCACAGCAAGAGAGGGTATAACTCCCCGGGCTCTCACATTCATAGAGCCATGGAGTGAGAGACTGTCCAAAACTTGTCAATATGGCATTTAGTCACAGCCCTTTTTAAAGTCCTTCTGTGTCTGAGTGGATATCAATATGAATGCGTGATGTGTGTGTGTGTGTGTGTGTGTGTGTGTGTGTGTGTGTGTGTGTGTGTGTGTGTGTGTGTGTGTGTGTGTGTGTGTGTGTGTGTGTGTGTGTGTGTGTGTGTGTGTGTGTGCGTGTGTGTGTGTGTGTGTGCGCGTGCATGCGTGTGTGCTAGCAATGGGGGACACGGCTGCAGTGTTCCGATCACGTCCGGAGCTGGGATGTGTATCATGATTAATTGATGAAGGCACGGCCTCGCCTGTGCGCTGCACTGTTTGAGCACCAACTAAACTCTCTCTTTCCTCCTGTGTCTCTCTCCCTCTTCTCCCCCACCCCGGCCTCCCTCTCGCTCTCTCTCTGCCTCCCTCTACCTCTTGCTCGCTTAGCCAAAAGCCCCGAATGCTGACTGGCGATATTCAGCCTCTTTGAGGGCAGGGATGCAGAGGTAAGCGCTTTACATCTTTAATTCTATTGCGACTTGTGAACATCTCAAAAAAGTCACATACCGTCTACCCCCAGTGTTATTACAATGAACCTTTGGGGTCCGTGTTGTATGCATCACATTTCTTACAGATATGCGCACCTCACAATAACTTAATTAACCTATTAACAAATACTCTAAATTGTGCACATCTGTGCATGGCGCCTATCAATTAAACGTCCCCGAGCCTCAGTTTGAACTTTAATCACCATCCTCTACGTTTAGCAGATGTGTTGTACAGCTCCCATCAGTGGATGCTTAGCACTCCTCCTCTGCAGTGTAATACTATATAGGTCATCTACATTCTGAGCGTCACTTCCCCCCCGAGTTACAGTCTTTAAGTAGGAAGCATGAAGGACAAATGAGTTGACTATGACCTTTCTCAGATTAACAGATGCACACATCAGTGTCTGCATGTGCAACTGCCCCACACATGTATGCGTCTCTGTGTGTAACTCTATATTTTTGTTCAGACAGCAGAGGACATTTTGGACTGTAGTCCTAATTGTTAATTCAGCAGCATGCACTCTGGTTTTCCAGATATGGATTCATACGCATTATTGTTCAACCAAATGCTAATTATATATGGATTTAAAGATCTAATTTTCATTCGCTACCTACTTCATATCAAAGGATACTGAAATTAAGAGGATCTCTCAATTGGAATAAAATGCTAGTTTGTTTGTTTCCGCATCTGTCTCTGACATCTTGTGATGATTAGGACACAAAACTTGAATTAACATACATAATGAATTGTTTTGCTCATTTGACATGGGGACAGCTGGAAGATCAGAGACTAATGAGTTTCACCTCCAAAAGTCTGAGTTTTTATAATTTTATGCCAACAATACTCAGTGCTCAGTTGTGCCCTCTTCCGTTGTGTGTAAGTTTGATTTATTTGGGTATTAGTGTTGATTTCTACGGCATGGAGAGTATCATAATGTGCATCATGTCATCAAGTCACTGTAACGTGACATGGATTAACATAAATCATCATCGCAATTAGCCGCTGCCATCTCCTAACAGGGAGCGCCTGTAACACGCGTAGACACTGACAGGCTCATAGCAACGCTTAACCCCGACACACGCATGCTGTAACAAACTATACACAGCGTCCAGCACCAACTTTACTGACCCACATTCCTAGGGCAGTCAGTCAGGGTAGAAAACTACATTATCTGTGTCATGTTCTCACACATATTAGACTAGCACCTTTTCCCTTTGGAAAACCTTGCAACCTACAGCGCGGTAGTCTGTGCATACACATTTGATGTTCATGACGAACCCCTATTAGTGTTTTACAGTTTGAGGTAGACGCTGGCCGTGCTGCATTACAGAGGTCCCAGTAAGGGTTGGTCCTCCTAAACAGTATACGCTTTATCTTCATTATAAATGTATGGGGGGAAATATCTTGCAGGTTGAAAAACTGCACTCTGGCAATTGTGTGTGTTTATTGCAGCATTATTTTTTAAAGGAATAGTTAGTCATTGGAGAAAATAGACTAATTTGTTTTCTTACCGGGAGCTAAATTGGAAGATATATTTCCTTCTTACATTCAATTCAATTCAATTCATTTTATTTTGTATAGCCCAAAATCGCAAATTACAAATTTGCCTCAGAGGGCTTTACAGTCTGTACACATATGACATCCTCTGTCCCGAAACCCTCACATCAGCACAGGAAAAACTCTCCAAAAAATGAAAAAAACATTCCAAGAGGGAAAAAAAATTACCAGTTATTACAGATTTGCTGTCATATTGGGCAAAGAGCATAGCCTTATATGGTATTATTGGGGAGTTAATTTAGCAGATTTACAGTTATCATGAATAAGCGCTCATTTACGCAAAAGTGGCATTAGTCTTTTAATGCTTGTCATTTATATAGTAATGTAAAATGCTGAATCTGATGTGGCACACTCATATCACAACAAAAAACAAGAGGAAGTTAGGGCAAGAAGACAACGTTTCAACTAAGCTGATTATTTTACTCTGATAACACCAAAAGATGAGGAAAAACAACAGTTGCCAAAGACTGCATGTTGTACTGCATATTATCATGTTCTAAATAGAAGTGGAATATTAGTTAGTATGTGAACATAGTGAGTTAACATTAGTTTCTATATTGTCATCTCTCGGTGTGCTGCAGGACCCCCTGCAAAGTCAAATGAACAAAATGCCAAATCCTGAAAGTCTATGTTACGCTTTTCATTTTTAATATATTTTTTTATGAATGTGGGTGTAAGGAGTGTCCTACTTTTGATTCACATAATTATTTTGATTTAAAAATGTGACAAGGTCGTCGGGAAATACTTAAATATACGTTATAATATATTTTGTGTGTGCCAATTGAATATGTAAACAGTTGTCATCGTGAGAAAGCTAGTATAACGTTTAGTGTCAAGCCGCTGCAGTAGGCAGAATAGAACAGCACTCGTAATGTCACAACAAAGTCAGGTTGGATGAAGGTCAAATATTGATGATATAATGAGTAGTGACACAAAACTCTTGACAAGATCAAGTTCAATGTTACATTAGTAAAACATACAGAATATACTAAACTTACTGTAGGGGAACTTATATTATATTTAACTTATATTTCTGGGGCAGTTGCACATCAAATGCTTGGCCACTGTATGTTAAACCTTGTTTTCATCAATATCTGTTCATACATTTTTTACATTTTAATTATTTCCTCTGTTGTACTACCGTTACAGTTGAGGTTTCAAAACCACCCGTACCCCCGATTAACATCTCAACGTCGAGTTCTTGAATAGAGACTCAATGTTTGGTTCAAAGCCTGAATGAATATTAGATGGAATGTGTCTCGCTGCGATTGTTGAATGTTTTCTCCCTTTTAGTTCGGTCCACATGGAGGAGTCCTCTGTGATGCAAGGAGCCCAGGGGATGCTGGTGCAGAACTGGCCCACTGTGTCAAGCGCTGCAGGTGAGTGGAAGTCTAGTAGTCTGGGTAGCGTGAGAAAGCACTGAGCACTCAGCATCTAATGCTGATGGATAACGGATATAAGTCAAATGTAAATAATTTTGTCCATTTTTCATCTACATTCGATTCACAAGCCAACTGATCAAGGTTAAATTGATCTTGCTTTAAAATGTACAAAAAAGGATTTGGTTTTGAAAAATATATTTTTTATAACATGTAGGCTTTAACTTCAGGCTATTTGTGGAAAGGCGTATTAAAGTATGTTCAGATTTAGACATCTAGTAGCCGGGTAGTGTGTGCCAAAAACACAATATGTGGGAGGCCAGCAAGAGTTTTGTTTTCCTAGTCGGTGCACTCGTGCCTGTTATTACCATTTAATGAAGCTAATCGCTGGCAGGTAAAGACAATCAACCCGGGGGTTCATTCAAATAGTAACATTTGGAGGCTAATTTATACAGTCTACATGAGAAAAATACATAGTTAAATAATTAGACAGATCTATAATTTCCCGGGGCATATTAAGAACTACCTTGTAAGCTACATAAGTAAGCGTTTTTGGCAATAGTTAAAATGACATGTCTTTTTTTTTTTTTTTTAACAAGTTGACTATGAATGTTTTTCGGGATGATGTGTACTCTATACTAGTGCCCTACAATAGAAATTATAATTTAGGTTTAGAGATTATTTGACATTTGTCTTGCTTGGAAGGATACGAATATGACTAATTTGGCCAAATTAAAACTCTTTCAAAACCGAAGTGAATTTTCATTCAAATTTGTTATAGGCACAGTTTGCCAGTTAACCCTGAACCTAAAAATATGATTGCCTACCAGCACTTCTTACTACCGAACTCAATCTCTAATCAACATCTTGTTTGTTGTATTAGATTGAATATTGAATACTTTGAATTCATGAAGCTGAACTATTGGTTGTTTTTATTTTGGTTCAGATATGTTAAACTGGGGCTTTGACAGAAATTTGCTTTGAATATCGACATGATCTTGAATGCCAGTGTGATGTTCATGCAGGGCTTAGCCGAGGTGCCAAAAGCGGGGGGCCTTTATGCAGAGCCACAGATAAACAACAGTGTCCTCCCATGACAGCAGCTGGCATCATGGAGAGCTACAGACTGAAAAGAGAAACTAATAAGAAATGAGTTGTTCTGAGTGGGTGGCACCATTTAAAATGTTTGGCATGTAGCGCAACATAAGTGTCAATAGAACTGGCCTCGGATATAAGCTGTGCTTCACATAAACACTGGCCCTGAGCTCCTGACAAACAGCTTCGGTTGGTTGATTGGGACACTTTTGAAACTCCGATTTTGAAAATGTGAAACGTTGTGAGCTGTTCCATTCTTCTTTCCTTCAGCCGAGCTTTTTTTCATTGATATTCTGTCGAGCTTCGGGAATTAGAACATACAATAGGTAGAGACGAAGGATGAAGGGAAACATCACTGCCAATCCCTCCGTGAGTTGCTTGCAGGATACGTCCTACTGTCTTTGCTGCAGAGAAATTTGCGTCTTAGAGCAGATAAGAAGCTGTCTCACCAGTTAAGTAAAGGCTCACAAATATTATCTTTAATAAACAGCATACTGCAGACCATGCAGAGGTGTATTGTTTCAAAAGGAAATATTTTGTTCGGCATTGACGTGTGCTGGATTGCAGGTTGATCCTCTTTAGAATGCAACAAGAGGTGGAGCCTATTTTTGTTGACACATTTACATGTCTGCAGTTATTATCATTCTGATGAAGTTGTCTGATATGCTGTGATGCATATAAATGACCCGTGGCGCAGATGAGGTGACATTTGTCTCATGCTATAAGGGTAGAAAGGGCTATTATCAGTACTAAGACAGTTCCATGATAAAAAAGATATCTACTAACAATAAAAGCAATTTTGGAGAGGAAGAGGAGAGGAAACTTTACAGGGGGATGGAAAAGCATAATGCGAGGTGTGTGGGGGGATGGAGAAAGAGAAAGGTTAAGAGGATTGGCAGGTTCCTGCAGTAGTGTTGTTGCTAGGGAACGCCATGTGACCTGTTGCCTGGCAACACTGTCTAACTGAGAGATTGCTGCAGCAGCCGCACCCTCCATGAGCAGAGTGGGCGAGGGCAGTTTCCATGGCAACCGGTTCTATCTCTAAATAGAAGATTTAGTCTGGAAAAAAAAAGAAAGAGTAGAGAGCAGAAAAGGGACGGGCACTTGGCAAGGGCAGGCATTAGGAAAAAGAGAGCAATTTACAGGACACATTGTAGGTAAGAATGGTTTAGGTTTAGGTGTCGTATGCAGAATACATGAGCTGCAAAGCTATAATTAAACAAGCACTACACAACTGTGGAATGTTGTGCATGTGCCATAAACCACACTAGGGATTCATTTTAGATGGAACTAGAAAGGAAATAATAGCCTATTTTAAATGTAGGACATCTGGTTGGATGAAATGAGACTTCAAATACCAGGTTTCATGGCAACCTCCTCATGAGGAGCTGGACTGACCGGCTTACACCATAATCTGTTTGCTGTGAAGCAGGAGTATATCAGATTAAATTCTAATTAACAATGTCAGGGTTTTGGATTTGTTACAGCCATTGCAGAGAGCTCTGGGATGTCCCAAGACGCAGGGACAATATTCACTCGATTAGTCGCTATAAAGTCACTTGACATTTCAGCTCAGTTGGTCATGCGTGGGGACTTTCACTGTTCTAGGTGTACATTAGCAAGACCCTAAAAGATTTTCTCCAGCATAAATATAGTGCAGTCTGCAGCTTTGCTACCGGTGCAGCAATCAGGTTTAATTATAGCTGACTTCTTTTTTTTAATGAATTCTACCAGGATGAATTGTCCAAGTCAATAAATAGATTGTACCCTACCAGTAAGGGTCTGTCCATTAGATCCCCCCAATGACGACATGTAAAAGTTACAGACAATTTTCTATTAAATGTAAAATTAACTTTAATTTACTGCAGAGGAGGATTATTCATACATTTTCAGTGACCTCCTGACATTTTCTCTACAGCACCTCCATCAGGCTTGTTCTGTCGAGATTTACTGAGTACAGTCATACTTCGAAAAGGATGAACTTCTTACATTTACATTTAGGGCTGCAACAACGAATTGATGAAATCGATAAAATTTGATTATTAAAAGCATTAGCAAGGAATGAAGAGGAACCAAAGTCTGATTTTTGGCAAATGGCAAAATATGCAAAGTCTACGTAACCGGGCACGGGAGCACCACGTTGACGTGAGGAACCTAACAAGCCTCCAGCAGCTCTGCTGCTGCTTACTCGTCATCCAGCTGATCAAGCTGATAACAGCAGTAAAGGAGTAAAGCAGTTAGCAAGACTAAGACACGTTTTTATTTACTCGCCTCTTTTGGACCATTAATTTGTCAATCTGTTGTCTTGTATATATTTTGTGCTTTGTCCCATATCGGTTATTTTTAACAAATATAGTTGTGTGTGTTGCACTTTTTAATGCTGTGATATACGGCAGTCCAGTGCGCTTGCACACATACTGTCGGTTGTCAGGTAGTTGATGTTACGCCGGTAAAGGGAGACACGGTGATCCATTAAATCAACTAAGAAGCCTCTAATGCGTTTATTTACAAATGCCATTTTAATTTCATCACATAGCACTTGGTTGTTTTTTAGCTGTACTTTGATGGGGTGTATACATTTACCTGCACTACAATGATGGTAATAATTTAATTAATAAACTTCAATTGAACATAGGGGGTGTTTGTGAGTGTGAGAGTTTGTGAGTGTAGTAGAAGTTCTGACGTTAAAACAAATGTTAAATTGTTAGATTTTCTGATTTGTTTTCTTCTTTATTTTTTATAAATTATTATGTTCAAGGAGTAACCTGTACTTTCTGAAGTATTTTTGCAATGTGAATTTGCAGTTCTGTTTTAGAATAAAGGGTTGGAAATTAAAGCTTTTTAATGCGTTTTTTTTTAAATCAAAATAATCGTTAGTTGCAGCCCTATTTACATTTATATTTTACATTTAACTTACGCTTTTGTCCAAAGCGACTTACAATAAATGCATTCAACCAAGAGGCTACAGACTCTCAATTTATTCAAGAAAGCTAAACTATAAAATGCCATATGCCAACTCAGGTGCTAATAAAGTGCTATGTAGTTCAGGTATAGTTAGTAGAGATGTGTTTTTAGATAAAGCCTGTATAGACTTTCTGCTGATGTTATTGTAGAGCTCATTTCATCATTTAAGACGGAGGACAGCAAACAGTCAGGAAGTTGTTGAGTGTTTAGACAAGCAGATCTATGCAGAGCAGAGTGAGGACGACGAGTGATGTCCTGGATGTAAACCGGACCGGATCAGTATGCAAATAGAAACGTTTTGAAATGTAGGCGGGCAATCCACTGGTAACCAGTGAAGGGAGCGGAGGAGCGGAGTAGTGCGGGTGAATCAAGGTTAAAGACCAGTCGAGCTGCTGCATTCATGGAGGAGCTGCAGAGGTCGGATGGCGCTGGCCGGTGAACCGGCTAGAAGGGAGTTACAATAGTCAAGACGTGAGATGACTAGAGCCTGTACCTGAAGCGGCGTCGCCTTCTGAGTGAGATTCACAGCAACGTTGTGCTGCTGAAATGTTGCGAGGGAAAGTTGACTGTCGAGCGTGACACCAAGCTTCACAGCGGGGTCAGGGGTTAGGACGGAGTCGTCAAAGGTAACAGTCGTGGGTGGGAGAGTTTTTCCCCAGAACGAAAAAGAAGTTCACTCTTGTCAAGGTTAATTTTCAGGTTGTGTGCAGACGTCCAGTGAGAGATGTCTGTCAAACAAGCAGAGGTTTGTGCCACTACCTGTGTTTCAGATTGGGGAAAAGACAGGATTAGTTGGGTGTCATCAGCATAGCTGTGGTAGGAATCAGATTCATAGAGTCTTGGAATTTAGTCTATTTGGAAAGCTATAGAAGGCTTGTGCAGTCTAGCCTAATATACCTGCTCACCCCGATACACCCCTACAAAGATTTTTTTGGTGAAAAGGAGTTTTTCAGACACTAATGCCTGTCCTGGATTAGTCTTAATGCAATGTTTTTTTAAAAGCCATACAATAACTGTAATAATGAAATGTGAAATAAGGACAAAAAACATTTGTCATCGCTTGTCAGCCATCACTACAAGAATGAAAAATTCCCAAATTCAACTTCCTGTAAACTGTAGCATCAGGTAACAGGAACTGGTGTGTCGGTTGTATAAATCGGAGGTGCTTTGTGTACAGCAATGCTATGCACTGCATTACTGCCTCAATAATATGAATGGCCCACGGGCCACACGTTTCTGGGGGGGGTAAATTCAGGGAGGGTGGACACATTTTCTTTAACTCACATGCTGTCTCCTTAGTTCATTAGAAGCATGGATAGCCATGGAATTGGCCTTATTTGAAATGCTAGATCCTCTTCCTGGGTTTAATACCCAGATTAAATACACAGAGACCATACCATCACATATCTTAATCCTCAGAAGCAGACTAGCATTTCAGTTTTACTGCACTAACTCCACTAATGGTAAGATAAACTGATAACATCTGACTCTGTATAATCATTAAATAAGCTAAATTGCGTAGGTCAATTAGCAGTTGACTTGTTTGTATTTAAATATTGTGTAACATGAGACCAAATTGTTAAAAGGAAAACAAATAGTAACAGAGCCAGCTGAATCTGGATTTTCCTGGGCAGCCGTGAGTTGAATGGTGTGTGTGTATCTTGTGCTGATTATTTGATGTAATACTTCTATTTTTTTTAAATATAGAGAACAATGCATATGTATTTGTTCCTGTTGCAATTGGACTCTCCTGCTTTGTCACCAAAAGACACAATATCTGCCCTTGCGTGCAACATTCCAAACCTCAATGATTTCCTGTTAATATGGGTTCAATTTTAAATGTGTCACTGACATAATAACATGCAATAGCACTTTGTGAAAATGTTTCCAGTGTTTTTTCAATGCTCCAAGCCAACTATTGAGCAATGTACTAGTGTCCATTACATCTGCTCTCAATATAGTCTACTCTCATCATTTATTCTCATGCTCGACGAGCTCATTTGAAGGGACTCTCTGTCTGCGCATGGACAGCGTGCATTTTTGAAATAGTGCACTTCCCAAAGGGACAATGGTTTGAAACCATTTCAGCGCTCCAGCAAAGTCATATATAGCCTACAAAGGAAAATCCAAATGATTCTTTTCGCAAGAGCCTGCGTTTGATCTAAATACAATCCCAACGGAAAGTAGGTCAGTAGAGAGGGAACTGGTGCGGGCCTGACTGAGAGCACCGTGTCTGCGAAACCCGCCCACCCCCATCTCCCTCACTGCCTCTCCGTCTCTCTCACCCGCTCCCCTCATCTCGTCCTCTTTCTTCTCTTCCGAGCATCTTTAACCTTTTGACCTTAACTGCTACGTCTCATTTTTGCTTTACATTAGCATTTTTCTATATATAGATGTTTTTTTTGCAGTATGTTTTTGTCAAATTTGCACTCTTTCTTTTTATCTGTCGCATCCGTAAATGGGAACCAAAGGTTGAATCTCTTGTCAGTGGCCTCCAATGAGATTAAGCTGCTACGATCATCTAAATCTAAATCCAAATAACACTGCCAAGTCAAACATCTCCTGGTTAAAGGTTAGCCGCCTCCAGCATTCCCTCCTGTGGTCTCGGCTGAGTTGCCAACCTGAAAATATCCTCTTCCTGCGGCTAACGCTCCATTGTCAGGCTGTTGCTCTGCATGCTTTTGCTTGATTTTGATTATTCCCTACTTGTCAGATTTCATGAACATCTCAAAGACCAAATAATAAAGTATAGAAAGATGCACAACATGCATGACAGGCAAATGTTTATAGGGGTCAAATGTTTTGTTGCTTTGTTTAGTCCTATGTCTATTTCTGTGCATTAACATTGACATTAACCAAATACAGAGGTGAAGTATTTCTGAATGCAGTGGGAGTATAACGCAAAAAATAAGATATTTCATTTTGAAACAAATGGCTTGAAATCTCTGGGAATAAAGATTTTTCCCAAACTAATCAGTCACCCTAAATTCTTATAAATTCAGTAAAATATAAATGCGTTTACTGACATGAGCAAATGCTGTTGAAACAATTAAATTACATTTCAGGGTCAAATTCCGAGGCTGTGTACACTCATTTGGCTATTAAAGCTAATTATTTTCCGAAAAGGATTCACGACCAGTGAGTTAAATTCAGATTAGACGCTCCTGCTCGTCCCACTTGCCATCATTCAATAATAAATAGTGTAAAGAACTAGTATTTCAGTGATACTTACTAGGGATTGTTCATTATTTTGGGAAATAAGCGTATTTGCCTCTTTATGTTAAGTCTTGGAAGTTATAAATATGGAGCTGGAACCAGCAGCTAATTAACAAAAAACAAACGTGATGTATAATGTTTCTTTAATTTGTGCGATAAACATTGATTAATTCCCCAAGAAAAGCAATAAGCCTACCTCCCTCTACATTGAACCGTTTCGTTAACGAGGCAGATCCGATGAAGGTATTTGATTTTTTCTTTTTTTGTAGACGGAGATGGCGGTGAACTTTCACCCCCAGTGGGCGCTGGAGTCGACAGCAACAGCTGGCACTTCAGGTATGGCGCCGCCGGACAGGGCTATTGCCCTCCTCAGCCCCTGAAGCCCGGGGAGATTCCTCCTGAAGCCTTCATCATCCCTGGATCCCCAGCCATCATTTCTATTCGCCATGACGCCGGCCCCGTGGACAACAAAGGTGACTTCATAAGCTTTGGCAAGAAGGAGGACGCCAAGAAGAAGAAAAAGAAGAAGAAGGACAAGAAGGACAAGAAGGATAAGGGAAAAGATGACGGGGGGGACGATTAGAGGAGAATGGGTGACTTGAAAACAGAGCTACCAACAAACAACCTTCCCTATTACAGTCAGAAAAAATAAATAAAAGCAAGATGTATATTGTAGAACCAAGGGAGCCTCCTTTCACCATATTTGCATTGACATTGTACAGTTGCCAAACCCTCATTAGACGAGGCCTGGCTCCCCCGCACCATGCAAACATGCTAAACGGATGTTCTCTTGTTCTGCATCATTTGGCCCATAACTTCCAGGCCTATAAAAAAAGGTTAACAAATGATCGTTCGATAGTGGACAGGCCTCATCTAAACATTGGAACAACTTAAAACCGAAGAGGCTTGTATTGGATACGATCAGCCTTTCTGTGATTTGCTCACACCCTTTCCCCCCCAGTTTGTATCATCAAAAACAAAAACACCAGAGAAGGTGTAGTATTTGTATCTGACCATTGTCAGCTGAGGCTGCCCGTGTCGGCATCTCTGTCTTTATGCAGCCCACTCGTCCTTTTTTGGCTCACCTAGTCACGGGTGAAGTGGAAGCCAAACTTAATAGAATGAAACAGAGGCTTTTTTCAGTAGTATTGGCGGCCTTGTAGAAATTCAGAAAATGTGGTCTTTTGTAAAAAATATATATATATAAAAAAGGAGACAATAACAGCGTACAGTATATGTACCGTGACATTGGCACCTTCGAGAGAACGAGGTGGCTGAGCCGCACAAGACCACACTCAAAATGACAGCTCTGTTTCAGTGTGACACAGCGCATTGGGGAGGCGGAGGACCTGGACGGGGGTTGCACCAACTATGCGCAAGTTTATTCCCAGGTTAGTGTATAACGTATTGGCATAACTGCTAGTTAATTTGCAAGTTGCTAAATTTGTACCATGGGTGCAAGGGGGGAGTTCTACGGCTGTAACTATAACATTACGATTTCAGATGAGTGGCTAGTTAGAATAAGCATTATCTTGCTGATGGGTTTCTCAAACCCATGAATTATGAGATTGGAATAAGAATGACGATTGGTAAATAGAATTCATATTTGACTTTTAAAGGACAATATTAGTTTTTGCATGTTTAAGTTCATTCTTTGCAAATATTAATACTACTAATACTAAATTAGCCAAGACTTTTTCACTTGAAAATGTATCAAGGCGAACACAGAGTCTGGTCTTGTTGGTAGCTTGTGTAGTGTACGTCTACTCAAAGACGGCGCTACGATATCACAGTTACGAAGCTTTGTTCGATTTTAACAGACTTGATGAATTTTATCAGCCAACCAAGTATCAAAATGTCAATTTCAATCGTGAATGTTATTGAATTGGAACCATAATCTGTTTGAAAGAAGACACAAATGGGAAAATGGTGATGTGTAATTTGTAGAAAATGGGTTTAAACATCCCAAATTTGTCCTTTAGGTTGCAAAATGGTATTGAATTACTAAAGAAGAAAAAACACACTGTGTGTTAAAAAAAAAAAAATCCTGCTATACTGTTAATAAGTGCAACAATGTAACTTTGTATTATTTGCTTTATTGCTTGCTTAAGTATTTAGTTGTTACTTAAGGTTACGTTGTAACAGATTTTTGTGGTGCTACCGCTTGTGTTTTAGCAACGCGTGGATATGGATTAGTGGTTGCTTGGGATGTAACTGGGGAACCTACGTGCAGCTGATGTATCTGACCCCCCCGACACTGCCTCTTCTCTTTGAACATGGCACATGTCAACCGGGTCTTAATCCCACTGTGTTTCAGCACACCCAGTCTGACACACACACACACACACATTATTGTACACAACCACGTACTATTCACACACACACACACAGATGGAGAAAACATACCAACACACACAGATATACTAAACAAATAAGCGCCCCTTTCTGGAAGCTCTAGGCCAGTACCGTCCTTAAAATGGGAGTGTATTATACGGCTGGGACGCAGGAACGTTACTTGTCGCTTCATTTCTGTTCAAGCCTGATCCCTCTACTTCTGTCTTTGAATGTTAAGTGGTTGTTCTTTAAGCCCTGCACCACTGCCTCCACTGCTTCTCGTGCTCGTAGGACTTTGCTTGCCCGCTCGCCTGTTGTCCTCCCTCTACTCCCGTTTCCTCAGATCAACGCGGTTGGGCAACATCTTTTAAGTCGTTCTCCTGCAACGAACTGTGCTGTCGTTAACAAGGTGGCATTTGTGTGGTATTTGTATATTTACGCTGAGGATACACACAGACACAAACGAGCGAGCAACGCGCGGGTTGTTCGGGTTCAACTTCAGTTGAGCTGAGGCGCTTCAGCCAGAGTGTCTCCTCGCATAGCTCACTGTCGACAGCTCTAACGTCTCTCGCGTGTTGCACTCTAAGGGTCTCTGACAAGTCGGCTCAATCGGAGATCGTGCGCTAGTGGAGAAAATGAGACACGATGGAGAGGCAAAGGGAAGAGGCATTGCAGTGTAATGTGCAGCTCCAACGTAGAAGATGAAGAACAGCAGAGTCGGGCAGGTCTTTAGTCTTTTACACGTGGTTATTCCTGTGACAGCCATTAGTGGCGACCAAGCAACTCGGCTAAAACTACTTACAAAATGAGTCCGAGGTGGTTAAGCAGCCGAGAAACGGGGTTGGCGTCGGGGGGAGAGGGGGGGGGGGGGGGGGGATCTAATTCAGGATTAATGGAGGTGATGATTGCAGCCAGCAAGCAAAGATCGACACAAGTCAATAATCACAGCTTGCAACACCTGACAAATTGACTTTATTACTACACACAAATATCAGAGAAAATGCCCCTGGGACGCATTGTAAAGGAGAAATGTACAAGTTGCAGTGACCCAACTGTGAACTGCGTGAAACGATTACTTGGCCTCGACATCGCAAAGCCCAGGCGTAGCGGGGGAAAGAGTATCTGGAGCAGTAGATGTTGGAACAATGCTGAATATTGTCGTAAAATGTCACCTCGGTATTGCTTTTTTTATGTCGGAAATCGTCTTACCAGAACCAGTGAGGTTGTGTAGGTGCTGCTATCATGCTCGTTCCATCCCATGCACACTCGTCTTTCCCCCTTGCCCTGTCCTTCAGGTGTACTTCTGTGCTGTCGGATCACCAATTGGCTGTTTGCATGTTATAACCAAAAGGAAACAGATACTATATAGATACTATATATACATAGAAATGTTTTTCCACTTACAGATTACATATGCATCTGATACACGCTCTCAAAGACAATAGACATACATGGAAAGCTACACTCATTCTCACACTGATACACACCCATACGCTATTGCAAACAGTAATTTGTGGAAAAACTTAAGAAGAATCACATTTTCTATTCTGTCGAGAAACAATGTAATCTTCTGGATATACATAATGCATTTGTGTTATGAGATGATTTCTTTCTGTTTTTACCCTTCATTTCAATGATATGAAAATCAATCCCTAAAGTTCTGTTAATCTTTACAGGGATTATCAAACAAAACACCATTGTGAAGTCAAATATTTAACTCACCCTCCATATCTATCTCTTGAAAAAAAAAAAAAGAAAGTAAAAAAACAACTTAAACTTAAAATGCTGTAAAAAAATAAAGTTGATGTATTCTCTGCTTGTGTATAGTGAATGTTCCTCAGTCGCTGGGCGTGGCAGCGAGTGGCGGGCGCACACCAGTCGACTGTGACAGTGCAGATCTGTTAATAACTTTTTTGTACACCTGCTTATCATTGTGTAGGTGATAATAGTGATTCTTATGATTTCAGCAATCTGGTAACGTGTTTTGTTAGTAAGTCACAAATAAAGTCTTTCTTAAATATCTTAAAATCTGAGGGTTTTTTTGTGTGTGTGTTTGGCTTCCTGCCTGAAGCTTTCCATAGTTGCATGTGTTTATAGCTTCATATTCTGTGGGTAAGTATCTGGAATAATTAAATGCAATACATGAGAGGCAGAATTCGGATAACAGCCTGTCGCAGCATTATTTAGCGAGAGCCTGACGATGCTATTGGTAATGAAACTCATGTGAATGAGATAATGTAACATTTTTTCTCATCACATTGTTCATAAGACATCATCATGATTTTTGGATATTAGGAAAATACTGGTAATGAAACTCATGTGAATGAGAGAATGTAACCTTTTTTCTTCATCAAATTGTTCACAAGACACCACCATGATTTTTGGATATTAGGAAAATACTGGTAATGAAACTCATGTGAATGAGAGAATGTAACCTTTTTTCTTCATCAAATTGTTCACAAGACACCACCATGATTTTTGGATATTAGGAAAATACTGGTAATGAAACTCATGTGAATGAGAGAATGTAACTTTTTTTCTCATCAAATTGTTCATAAGACACCATCATGATTTTGGGATATTAGGAAAATACTGGTAATGAAACTCATGTGAATGAGAGAATGTAAACTTTTTTCTCATTAAATTTTTCATAAGACACCATCATGATTTGTGGATATTAGGAAAATACAACCACAATATAATATTAGTCATCCAAAAGGGACTTTTTGAGTCCATACCACACAATATTCTTCCTCAAAACCATAAAGAATTTCTCCTGTCCAATGCAACTCAATCAAAACCCTTAACACTTAAACTCCATCAAGTCTCAAACATCTGTTTTCTTTGGCAGGAGCACATTAACTAAATAAAAAGCAGTGTGAGATTAACTCGATGGAAAGCATGATCATCTAAACTGCTGCAAATCTGTGCAACAAACAGCAGTACAATAATCTGATTTCATAAAATGGAATTTTCCAGTGAGCTCAAGGTGAAGGAGTCAGCCACATATCAACACATGTTGAAAAGGATCCAGAAGTACCGAGAAACGTGCAGAACCTAATCTTTTTCTCCATTTGAGTGTTTTTACTGTCGCCTAGGATGAATGTTGGCTTCTGCGCCACAAGCTCCATCTGTCTGCGGACCGGAGAAACCTCCCTTCCTCCTCCTGGAGTCCATCTCTCGAGCAACACTGACACCTGCTGATAAATGATGAGATCGGCAGCGAAACACATTTTAAATATTCAATTAGAGGAAAGTAACATAACTTATTCTTGCGTATGTAAGAAAAAAGAATAAATGGCAACAATGAGCCACAGAATAATTAGTAGACACAGTATTTCGTATACGTTTTTCTAACCTTTTATACTTTCATGTTCTACATTGCTCCTGGTGTTAAAAATGTAATACATTAATAATGTAATGTACCCATAAACATTTTGCATGTTAATAAAAAGCCACTTTTCACTAGTTTGTGTTCACTCCAAATTCCTATTGTACTAAATAACAAATTTAAAGTTGGGTGTTTGATGTTGGTTTGCGCCTCAGTGGCTGATATATTTTTCAAATATAGCATTAAATAAATCCTGTTCCTTCATTCAGCTCTTTTTCACATCGCAGCAACATCGAAACCATGTATTCATCTGAACAATGACAATCATCCATTGTTTGAAAACACACTGGTTCATTCTTTATTTACTACTATTTATGTTTATTAAACCTGATGTTATCTTGCAAGCGTTCCAGCTTTGAGAAAGAAAAAAGATTAAGAAAACTCCACAGCTTTCCAGAAATACTGACAGTTACTCCAAAAGGGAATTGAGATGAAAATCGTTTTTCCTTGGTCCTTATCATCAATCCTTCAAGTGGCCTGATCCGAAATACTCTTTCAGTGAGATATAAAGGAAAAATGAATAACATTTCTAAACTACCGGAGAAGGAGAAATGCATATTAGGATTGTATGCCGAATACACAAGACTCTCACAGTGACAGTGAAAGTGTTTTTCCTTGTTGTCAAAGCACAGTAGACATTCTCACTGATACAGTATTTCATAATCCCCCTGCGGCTTTATGAGCGATTGCCTCATCCTCATTGTCCCCGGGGCTGCAGTGATGGAATATGAGTGCAATCCACCAAGCATACTGAGGCGTCCTAAAGTATTTTAACTTTTACAGCACGGTAGCAATATCTTTTAATGAATGACTAGTAACTGAGGTCAAATTTAATCCGAGAAGATTCCATCTTGTGACAAATGATGTGAAACGGCTGTCTTCTTAAATAAAATGTCAATAGAGGTCTGTGTTCAAAGAGACGAAAGTAAATATTTCACAGTGAAGCAATCAGTGGCACAAATAGTATTGTCTAGTCCCTTTAATCTGAGGAAAAGATTAATTCACGAGCGACTCCACAGGTACAGCTGGCAAACGTTGCTTTTGGAGGGATTTGAACAATAAGTGAGTAAAGGCTTTTGATCATGTTGTTCGTGGCTAATGTTGCGCTACTTGGTTCTGAATGTTGTTTGCACAAAAGTTTTCCAACTAATCCTCTTTTATTGGCACAAAAGTAGAATCCAATGCAACAGAGCTCACCTTGGGACTGTTTGCAAGAATCACACTGGATGACTGAATTGTTTAGTCTTATCAACCATTAATTTACGATGGAAGACGGTTTGTGAAAGGATTTCACTCAACATTTCATAGCTGGTAATTACTTTTGATTGAAATGGTGAGCGATTGTAATGATTTATTTGCCTGTTTCACTGAACTGTGTCTGCCTGTTTATTTATCTCCTTTTATTTGTTGCAATATTGTTTACTTCAATCATTGTTGGAAAGTGCTTGATGTAGAATATCTAGTAAACCATGGTATGTGTGAGAGATTTGAAATCAAATTTAATTTACATAAGTTTAATTCACTTAAGAATATATGTGTCACAATGTAAAGCTTTACATTTTTAATATACTGTATTACAAAAATCAGCCATGTCTGTCCAAATAATAACAGTATGAGTCTGAAATTAATATTTTGAATTATATTGAAATACTTTAATTTTATTATAGAATATGTAATTCTCTATTGCCTACTAAGGCTACATCTTTGTTAACAGTTACAACTTAACTTCCTGCTTTTAAACTTGCATGGTAATTTACACACAGTCCCTACTTCACTGATGCAAGTCACTTCCTTCTCTCTCTCTCTCTCTCTCTCTCTCTCTCTCACTGTCTCTCTCTCTCTCTCTCACTGTCTCTCTCTCTCTCCCCCTTGCTCTATTCCTTCCTCCATCCAGCTGTAGATCAGGATGCATGAATGTTAAGCGAGGATAGTGTCAGAGATGAGAGAGGGAGTGGGGGGGGGGGGGTTGAAATATAAAAAGAGAAAGCGAGCGAGAGAGTGGAGGAGGCACAACGACAGAGGGTGTTGGAAGCAGCATACCGCTGTGTTGTGATTATGTAGTGAGCGTGGAGCGGCCGGACCACAACAAGGGGAGAAGGGATTACGGTGAGGACACAGCTCGGCTTGAAGCTTGATCAATAAAAGGTAGAGGGGGTTTAGAACCTGGGCATTATAGCACAGAGGGCTCATTGAGCAGCGCTGCTTTGCAGAACTGATTGCACACTCTTTTGAGTTTGTATTTTGCCACCAAGGGATTTGAAATATGAAGTCACTCGAAAACCTTGAGGACAGTATGAAGACAAAACAGACAGGGGACAACTAGCTCCTGATATTTGGACTCAAGGCAAGAAGACATCCTGCTGCAGAATGAAGGGAAACACTCAGGTAAGCCTGCTAAACAAAATCACAAAAAACACGTCGGGCAGCATCTGTGCAGAAGCCAAGAACAGCTCTTTTCTTTAGTTCTGATCCTCTAAAAGAGTGTGTATTTTATTGTTTACTCTGGATTTAATGGGAAATTAAACAGGACGGGACAGTTGTCACTTAGCGTTAGAAGGTGACAACAGACGCACTTTACTGAGCTCAAGTAACGGAAAATGGTTTGACATCCACAGTAATAATCCCTGCATGTATAGACCACGACATGCTCTTAAAGAGATTTTGACTTTCCTGGATGAAGGCTGCTGGGGAGGATGAAGAAAAGCAAGGAGTGAAGGGAACCTTGTCAGAATGTCTCTGCAAAGAATTTGTCATGAATTAACGCTTCATGGCAAGCTTAAACAAATACTGTGTGTTTTTTATTGTCCAACAATGCAAAACTCCCCACATCATCGCCCCGCCGTTGGCCTCTGGAGTGTTGCGTAAATCGTTAAAACGACCTCGTGGACGCACAAGAATGCTGGCGCACGTGAAATAACTGCTGGCAGTGGCACGCACGCATCAAACGCCACCTCTGCGAGCGGGCCCTCCAGTTACACGCATGCAGGGCTTAATTAGGTCTAACGCATCATATTATGGCCTCTTTCCAAGGTGAGCTGAGTGTGGAGGACAACGGGGTGGAAGCTGCCTGCTATACGACAAACATTTCAATGAAGAGAGGAGAGAGAGAGAGGGAGAGAGAGTTCACCACAAGAGCTTGGTTTTGAATCTCCATTCCACAAATGAATTATTCTGTGTGCTGTCAGACATTGAGAGGGATCTGTGTGGTATGTTTTAACTTCTTATAAAATATAGAAAGCTTTTTTTCTATAGCCACAGTTTCCTTTTATAGTCATCATTTACACAATGGTAGTTATATTTCCCATCCAGTCACACCGTGTTACAGGAGTTCAAATCCTTTGACAACTCCTTCATTTTCTGCAGTATCGAAGCACTTCCTTGTTCTGTGCGTTGTTTCAACTTGTCCTGCTTACTCATGACTTTCTCTCACAGCACTTTCTTAAAATGCCTCTCACTGTAAACTTGTTCCGCTCTTTCTTTAGACCGATGTAATGGTGTGGAAACACTGGCGCTCTCTCAATTTGTAAGGCTCTGGAGTCGGCCGGACAAAGGATGGGGAGACGAGCTGCCGACCTGACAACTTCGGTTCCAGTTTTGGGTGTCCCTGCCCTGGTTGGATTGCACGGCTGGAGGACAATGGGAGGAGACAGAAGCGGAGGAGCCCTGCTTCAGACGTGGGGACCTCAGTGCAGCATTGGTGTTCAGACGTCCCCAGGGATCAACAGGCCTTGCACCCAGCATGGTGCACAGGTGACCGACACCCTCTCGACGCCACCAGAGAGCGTCACTCAAACGACAAAGAGCCATATTACGAAGGAAACAGAGTACGAGGAGATACTACCGCTAACAAAGAGTGACAAGGAGAAAAGAGCTATTTTAAAACAGAAAAGTGGGGAATCGAAGACCAAAAAGGAAGTGACTTTCAAAGCACTTGGAGGTGAAGCCTCTGGGGATGTGGCCTGCAGTCAGAGGAGCACTTGTGGGACTTATTGCTATGCCAGGGCAATCAAGACCAACCCACACTTTGCAGTAACCAACGTGAGGCGGAAATGGAAATCTGCTCCCCGCTACTTGAACGGCAGCGTGGTAGATTCTGAGGCCATCGGTGGAATCAGCGCTGATAACGATGAGGGGGAGCCCGCTAACAGACTTCGAGGCCGCTACGCAGAGCGGTGCGGGACGATGCTGCCGCCATCCTCTGCCCCGCCTCTTGGTATGACAAAACAAATATGTAGTCATTGCGGTGGCAAACAGTCTGTGACCACCGGAGTTGCGTCTTTAGTTACGAACAGCTCCGCTGTCGATACTCGTCTTGGAGTGAAACCGTTCAAGGCGGCCCTTGCCTCGCTCCCCCACATTGAGAAAACCGTTAAGCCAAGCCACCGTGACACTTCTGAGAGCATCACAAACACGGACAAAAGAACACACGTTAACTCAGACCCGTCATGTTTCAGTGAAGAACTGAAGTACGGAAAAGCACCGCGCCCATCATGCGGCGTGCACTGCAGGGGCTACGCAGCTCCATTGTCACAGACATATGCCGCCATCGATGCAACATCTCCCCAGCCCACTGCCATCCTACATGCTAAAACCATCACTGTCACCAAAGCAACTATTGAAACCAGGCAAGAGGATGCTTCTTCAAAATCATCCGCCAAACCGTCCCGGGACAATAAGATCTCCCGGCCAACCAGCCTCATGTTGACTCCGCAGATGGCCACAGCAACCAAACCAAACAACCCACATTCACACACTTATCCAAAGCACCTCCGGGTATCCCAACCTAACTCTACACAACCTAACTTGCCTCAAAATGTTTGTGTGTCTGTACACGCTACATCCCAAGATACAATATCGCCACCTTTTTGTTCGCAGACTGCAGGCGGAGGTGCTGGACCAGAAGCCCCAACCACTCGCAACATAAATGAAACAATTACAAGCCTCAGCACTGCACCGATGTCCACTGAAAGGACGCCCGCAAAAGTTGCTCAATGTGAAACACATCCAACGGGTGTGAACACAGCAACAAAAACAACTTATGGGCCACGAATGTCCCCTAAATGTGCCAACGTGGCACTAGCAGCCAATGCATCAGAACCTACGAGTGAACAGGGAACAGCTGCGCGACTTTCACCTGCAGCTCGAGCGTGTACCTCACACGCCTCAGATCACACGACGCAGGGAAAGCCGCCATCAAACGTAGGTGGCAAATCACCAGGTAACGTTTATTTTGCTACCACTGAAATGCCCTCGACTGTATTCCCCGCACCACACGCAACGACGCCACATCAAATTCCCAGCCCCCGTGTCCCAGGAAGCACTTTAAGTCATAACTTCAATTCAGATCACATCAGCACTGAACATAAATCTGCACACATTTTTCAACAGAATTTCTCCATTTCTGAGCCCGCGCTTTGTGTTTCCACAGCGTCTGTAAATGCACCAAGTGCAGCAAAACCCTTGGAATCAAAAGCTAGATTGCTTCCAAGTCCAGGTTCATCTACATCTACGCGCAACAGAGCTCTGTGCGAAAATAAAGCCCTCAGGTACTCCTCAATCAATCTGAAATCTTCACCAACCAAAGCCTCCACCTCTTCGGTGGCGTTGACGGGGAACCAAAGAAATGTTTGTGTATCAGGTACATCGTCACGTCAGTCAGCAGACACAACACAACACAACAAAGAGCTCAGTCGCAATGAAGCGCCGTGCGCACGTCGTCCTGATCATACACCGGCCACAGACAGCAGGGCCTGTGATGAATCTGGTGCGTGTCTCGTCGTTTGCAATCAGGAAAACAACTCTGCAACAGCTCCAGTCCCGCTCAATGTGTCAATAAATCACAACAGAGCCAGTGATACGTGCACCCAGCCTCCTAAATCAACTGTAACTTCCGATGCTAAATCTGATATATTCAATGGTGATGTACTGAATGAATTAGTTGTGCGTGAGTCAAATGACCATGAAGATTTAAATCTGTCCCGGGTCACCAACCTCCAAAATTACATTTCCCTAATTAATTCAAGCAGCTCTTGTCTGCAGGGTTGCATGAACACAGAACAACAAAGGCTTGCACATTGTCAAGGATACACAGAGACAGGACATGAGGGACACTGCGCTACATGCCCACCAGCAGAAACAGCCCAGGAGACAGATTCAAATGCAGAACAGTTTACCTCGGAAGTCTCAGTCAGGCATGCAAACACTAAGCTTAACTCCAATGCATACAAACAGGCCCTCCCCGAATACCCAACACCCACTCCCAAAGCGCAGACAAACTTTGAAGACACTGGCGGACGTGTCGAGCAGATTGACGAATCTTCAGTGCACAAAAACTCTGAGTTGGGAACTTCATCACCACAGCAGGCACGCACAAGTCTGACGTTGTCATCCGCTGCACCGGGCCCTGAACGCTGTTCCATGTCGCCGTCAACAACAACGCACATGGCATCCCTCCTCCGCCTCCCGCGGTGCTGCGAGGCTGAAGAAATCGTCGGAGCGGATCCAGAGTTTCAGCCGTGCCGGGAGGACACCAGCAAAGCTCCCCGCCACCCAGCTGCTACGGGCCTGTTGCGGCCTTCCTCCCCACAGTGCCGTAAATCTGCGGCCCTGCAGCAAAGGCTGGAGCTGGTGGAGGCCAGCCTGGCAGCCAACAAGAGCAGGATCACTACCTTGCTTGACATTATCCATGATCTGGAGATGAGCAACACTCCCACGGGCGGGTAAGAGGATGCATGATCCATTGTGTCGCAATGGGATGCTTGATTTAACCTTAAGACTTGCACATATATTGTCCGTGATGCATATTAATTTGTATACTCCAGTAAAAGGAGCTGTTTGCCAGAAAGATAATTACTTTAAAAGCTGCCATGCGGTACTGTTTACTGTAAAGGCAATAACAAAACCTTTACATACCATTTAGGCTCAATATTTTTGCTGCAATGAATAGGGAACATCATTTTATTTCAAAACCATATTTAGTTGTACAAACAAGAAAATAACGGATTATCACAGGTGTATGTTTGATATATGGTCTCCCTGTCTGGTGCAGAAAGAATGTATCAAGTTTGTGCAATACTGTAAATGCACTTTAAAACGTAAACGTGAACCATTTAAAAAATACAATGTGCAAGAAATGTCGTAAACAAAGCCAATTGTGTGCCATTTTGTCCAACATTTACCCTGTGCCCAAATTTAACTAGTACTTCTGTTGGAAATAAGCCTACACGTGACGAAAAGAAACGATGATTTCTACCAATAATTAAATTCACTACGATGTAAAATACCTTTTGAAGGTAAGAATACTGTGAAGATGTCATGCAGCTGGCTCAATGGCCACGATGAACATCAGGGATCTCAGCGTGATCATGTGCGGCCTACACACTGTGTCGAGTTTGCAAACAGGTCCTTGAATGTGTGCCCGAGTGTGACGGAAACCTACTTGGGCATTTCAAGAGGGGGTGTCTCTGGCAGATTTATTTAGCCATATAACTCTTCTGGGACAAATGACTGGAATTAAAAAACCCTCCTGGCGATGTGTCTCTGTCAATCATTCTCATCCCCTATATCGTGCTAATCAGTTGTGACTTCCCTCTGAGGTCATGTTTCAAAATAACCGACTCTTAACAATTGACTGATGTCTGACATAATGAGGGTTACACAGCTGATAGCTGCCAACAGCAATAACAGACAGAAAGGATGAGTGGAGGGAAAAGTGAGACATTTGGGAGTTTTCCTCATTTACTGTGTGAAATGTCCATCTTTTTTTCATCCTAGTAGGCGCTGCTACAAACCTGGACAGGAGCTCACAAACTGCTCAACCTGCCAGAGGACTGCTTGCATTGTCTACAGGTGAGATAGTTGGGAAATTGTCTACAGCGTTTGAACTGTTAAATGATCGGCTCTGAAAATCAGCTTTTCCCAAATTGCAGAATATCATGAATATACATTGCATGGTTTAGTGCTTCGCCTTGATATTGATTAGTCCTTGGCATGAAGCATTCACTTAGATGAAGTTAAATGTGTGCTTGGGTTTGAGGTATTAAGTAAACAATTCAAATGACATAAATATGTTGGAAATTACACTCCAATTGAATAGAGATTTGAAAAAGTACCATTTAGACAAAAATGAAATTCAACGTGGAGGTGAATTAGTTCTGTATTACTGACACAAACACAGATAAGTGGGAACATACATCAATGTATTTTCCACGGGTTTAATCTAAAGTTCCCTTTAGTGCTTGAGACACACACTTGCCAAGCACTTGTCTGGCATCCCGTCCACTTCACTGTGAGAATTAATGACTTACCGTATGGGCAGCTTACCAAATGAAAACCTTCGTATTGCCCAATTGTTTCTCACTCAGAATACATAGGGAGATTACATTTCCCCTCTGAGCACATCGTGAACATAAAGTACATCTTTTCACACAACAGATTTAAGGAGATTGAGAGGCACTCTCTGAAATTCAAACTAGCAAAGAAGAAGTCATAATTTATAATGCTCCCTTTACTGAAGTCATGTTAGCACTGTTAAATACTTTAACATATGAGATAAGCTGTGAAAGGTATGTACATTCATCCAAAGTGACCTAATCTAAAAATGAGACCTTTGTCGTTAAGTAAATTAAATTTGAAGGTGAAACGTTTATTTTACTGCATTAAATGAAAGAAAAGAACAAAAAAAGTAGCCCTGTGCTCCACAAAAAAACCCCTACATATATTTATATATATACATTTTCCAAAATTGCATTACAAAAAAGATTTAGTGTGTGTGTGTGTTGGTGTTTGGACCTTAAAACCCAAGTGACATTTGAGCGACATCAAGAAAAAGGAGACCCTGCCAGGGAATGTCTGTCTACTTGAACCCTTCAACCACTTTAAAATCTGACAAACGCATGCATTCTTTTGCATCCTTTGGCATGGACTGAGTTCCTGTAAACATCTTGTGTTGCATAGCATCAGTCATTTTTATTGAGGTTTAGTGTTTTTTGGTCTCCCGGTCTGTCTATCCAGTGTGGAGTATGACTTCAGGCAGCAGGAAAGACGATTCTCGGAAGTTTTGAATCACCCAGCAAGAGGAAATAGTGCTTACTCCACGCACCTATCCCAGCCCCTCAACTTAAGCCTGCTCCGAAACGCTGTTATTAAGAACTTAACAAAGTCAAAGGTGAGAAGCAAAAAGCTGTGCAAGACCCTGTTCAAGTGGCTGCCCAGGAAAATCCAGCAAATGTAGACCTCTAAACAATACCTGTGGTTTCATTAATAGCTATCAGCTACCAGCAGAAACCTTCACAGAGGACTCTTACTTCTCCTTTCCTTCTCCAAGAGGGAGATTACCTTTGAATTTGTCTCTTGCCAGGTAGATTTCCGCTCTGATGCGCATTGTTAACGTTTATTAATAGGATTTTGTACTAAAATCTTCCCCTGATCTGTGAACTTCAACTATCTATTTTATTTCAGAAAGTTACCGTTGATGTTACATTTAACCTTCAGTCGTCCCCTTTACCTGCTTCTCCTGGGACCATATGTGCAGCACAAAGCAGGTTTTTGAATGGAATCCCTTTGAAAGGCAAAAATAAATCAGAATTTGCTGATTGTTCTGTAAATATGTTCTAGTATTGCCCAAAGCGTTGTTTTATTCACAATGCTCAGCTTCTTTTTGTGCAATTAATGATGAAATAAAGAAAATGTTCACCTGAGACCTACAGCTCCAGTGCATCTCACCCTCACACTGCAAACCAGTCACCAAATAGAGAAACATTCATTATGCCTTTGCCAATTTTACTGATGGTCTCCAAATCCCCAAACAATCCGAACTTCATAAAAGGTTTCAGGGTAAAACAATGACAAGCCTAAACGTTGCAATGAAGCGTGAGTCACAATCAAAATGTCCACGTGCATATCCCCAAGCCCGTGAACACACAGGCAACTAAAGCTAAATGAAACAAAACACAACGAATGCTTCCACTGAAGCTTCAGCGCAATCAGTGCAAGAGGAACATGAAATCAGGAGTTTATAAGGGAGGAACGTATAAACAAATTATGTGAGCAGTAAGCTCAGCAAACTGGGATATTACCTTTGGAGCAGGCAATACTTAGGTGCTTTAATTAAAAATTCTTGCATTAATTGTACTGGAGGGAGATGTGGGTCCATAGCAGCTGTGACAGCCTTGTAGCCTCATGCAGGCAACAGTTCTGTCACAAATGACATTTTTCAAATCAACCAGATTCCCGTGCCATTGGTAAACACAGGTTATTGATAACATTCATCATGAACCTGCTCAATTTACCTGCGCTGTGCTCTGGATACTCTGCATGTTGGCTCACTGGCATGACCGTCACACTAAATAGCATGAGGCCTGAATTCATTGAATTAGAGTTAGTGTTTCCGCTGCAGCTACATGTCAGTGAATAACTAGAACAATAGCTGCATGTGTTCAGAAAATGGCCCAAACTATTTATACTTTAAATAACTTAAAGAGGAACACCTCTGACTTTAATGCATCAAAGTCAACGGTCTTGGAGAGTACTACAGTATGGCTGCAATGGTTTGCCGCCGCTGAGAGCCCCTCAAACTGCTTTTTGAAGACAAAAAGTTTCACTGTAACTGCGTGTTGCCATAACTTAATCACTCAAAGGCAAATCATGCCCATGGTTCTCTGCTCCCGGTGGGGAATGTGTCCTTACTCCAAGTGAAGGAGTTGAAGTACCTCAGGGACTTGTTTACCACTGAGGGGAAGATGGAGTGTGAGTTTGGGCGGAGAATCGGAGCAGCAGGGGCAGTATTACACTAGCTTTGCTGCATTGTTGTGATTTAAGTTGAGCCTGAAGGCAAAGCTCTCGATCTACCGGTCAATCTTCGTTCCTGCCCTCACCTATGGTCACAAAGGATGGGTGGTGACCGAAAGAACTAGGTCACGGGTACAAAGCGGCCAAAATGGGTTTCCTCAGGAGGTCGGCTGGCGTCTCCCTTAGAGATGCGGTGAGAAGCTCAGCCATCCGTGAGGACGTAGTCGAGCCGCTGCTCCTTTGGGTTGAATGGAGCTAGGTGAGGTGGTTTGGGCATCTGGTGAGGATGCCCCCTGGGCGCCTCCCTAGGGGGGTGTTCCAGACACGGCCAGCTGAGAAGAGGCCCCGGGGGAGACGCAGGACGAGGTGGAGCGATTATATCTCCACACTGGCCAGGGAACGCCTTGGGACCCCCCATATACTGGGAGCTGGTAGATGTGGCCTGGGAAAGGGAAGTTTGGGGTCCCCTGCTGGAACTGATGCCCCTGCGACCCGACCTCGGATAAGCGGATGAAGATTACTGACCGACTGACCGCTCAAAGGCTCAGAAAGACGCTATATGTTTAGCAGCGACGTCAGGAGTGCTTTGCACTTTGAGTGTTAAGAGTAAAGGGCTTTATTTAGTCTATTTTTTGCAGGTTTAGTGACAGAAAAAGTAGCACAGATCCTTTTGTGAATTCGCAGTGCAGTGGTCCATTGTTAAAACGTAAAGGTCCTTCTGAGCATGCATTATAGCTAAATTATCCCAAAAGAAATCATCTAAAAGTCTGTTATACTGTGTACGGTGGGGTTTAAGAATTGCACAACATAATTCTCGGTGAAGTTGTCGGCAAGGGGTGAAATGCACTTCCTTTATATGGATCCTGTCGTATAATGCTAGTTTCAAAGAGTCATTATCAGGAAATTCCCTGGCCAGAAAAGCAAAGCCGCAGAGAACACAATATAGAAACTTTAACAAGAGAGGCTTCTGAATTCCTGACTTGAGAGATCTGCTTAGACTGTGCAGTTCTCTGCCAACAGACTTGCCAATTTTGAAAAGTGCTAAACAATATTGCAGCAACAGTCCTCGAGCCAAAGACGAATGGGTCTATAAAACAACACATAAACAGGACGTATTACACATGATCCTATCAAGGAATATCTTTCACAGTACCTCAAACTACTCGTCATCTTGGTGAACATTAAAGAGTTCCATTTTAAACTGGCTTGACAAGTGGTTCAAATCAGTGCAAATCCTCCACGAAGCCATAAAAGTATCGGTGTAATTCACCTGGTGGCAGAGAAGAACAATTTGGTGTCAATCACTGCAACAATATGATTGCATTGCTTCCTTTGAAGACTGCTGGCTGGGTCAAACTGGGGGGACATATTGGTGGAAATAACGTTATCATTACTAACACGTCTGTTGGGCCTCAGGAGACGATTCAGCACCAGACATGAAACGGCTGTGCTAGTGCATTTGTGATGTGCACAATTTTCTCATGAACTGGACAAAGAAACACCTAAAGTCGTTTTTAAAGTATAATTGTTCCGTCTAGTGTAAGTGTCTGTTTCTCTTTAGCTGAATATTATAAGCAATTTCAACCTCCATTTATCTGCATGTATTGTCTCACAGTCTTAAAGCGTAACCTCTTAATAAGCTTTTGGGCCATTACGGCATCAGGTACAGCATGTGACAGTTCTGTTGAAATTCTATATTTTATTAGCTACTTGTTCATCTTCTTACAAAATTCCTGTGGTTGTACATACTTCCCCCATCCTTACAATGTGTAGCCTTTTCAGAGCACATGTAGTCTTTAAGGAGGTTAGATAATTCCGGAATAATTTTAAAGTAGCATGTCGGTATGTAAAATAACATTACTCACACCATCACTCAGATATGCATTAACTATGAAACATATACAGTTCTGTCAAAAACGTTCATACATGTAATATGAGCTCATATAACAATATCTCCAACTGCCGCACAGTGACTCATCAAGCTGGCTGGCAGTTTGAGACTGTTTAACAACATGAAACCACCCGGCTAAAAAACTTCAATCTCCATTAATTGACATTGGTGATATTAACTTTGAATCTAATCACTCCCTGTAAGCCGAAATGATACTTGCATTGAAAGACCAATGAAACACCCAAGTGGGCAGCTCTAAAAGCATGCAAGCCTCAGCCACTTTCAGCTCATTATTTTGGTTGACTGGCCCGTCTGGGTGAGGTCCATTGGCTCTCCCCAGCCCCTGAATGAAAAGACCAAGGGCAGCTGCCTGCTCACAAGCTCAGAAAAGCAGCAAACACTATGTGTGCATAGAAAGCTGTGAGGGAGGTGAATCAGTGTCATCAGAAGTAATTAAAACGTTTTTAGTCCATAATACTTGTGTTATTTGCTTCAAGTGAAGTGGAAAAATCTCAATCTAATTCTATTTAGGAAAAACACAAAAACTCTTCTAAAATCAATTTACAGCACACATGGTACCATACTATGACACATCACACTATAAAATCACCCTATATCGTGACGCATCACACTCTACTTTTACATCACGCTATGCAATTTGAAGCCCAAACTCAAACTGCAATACCGGACAGGAGTGAGGCCACATCGGGGGAGGAAGATGGGATCTGAAGCACCTGGTTGTGGAACAGTTCTAATAAGGTGCAGCATTTAGACACAGAGTAAGTCTATATATTTTTGAGGTTTTTTAGTCTGGACCAAAGCGTTGGATCAACCGATAGACAACATTGATTTACTGCAAAATTAGAACACACTGTCCTGTAAAAGCCACTGGTGTTGATTTGCATTTTCTTGCATTTCTGCACCACAGCTGTATGTGGCACCAATGATTCATGCTTTTAATCCAGTTGAACATATCGTCCTAATCATTTGACAACACCGTGCTGCATCAAATCTTACATAAAGTTAAGTAACAAGCCATTTTACCGGAAATCTTTCTGCCAACAAGGATCCACTTCTTTTGAGATTTAGAAAAAACTGAGCTAAATGTAATAATTATTGCAATTGTAATATTTGTTCAGGCTACACTCACTGCATGTGAGACACTTTTAGACTGGACCAACTCAGTTCCACTGCAATGCTTTCGCCCCAGGGCTGCCAGAAATGTTTTAGACGAAGCACTGCAAATTGCCCTGTTATGCTTCTTTCCAGTGAAGTGTGAACAGCTACATCTACATGACGCTGATAAATTCAATTGTATTTCTTTTTACGATTCTTACACTTTTAACGTGATTGCACGGCAAACTGAACAGACTCAAATATCTGGTGTTGATATGAATTTAAAGATGTTGCGGTTTGCAATCTGTTTAAATATCTGTGAACCATTAGTCTGAGAATGGGTGTCAGCCTCTCATGCGTAAATGAACTCTGACGGTGTCATCGTAATGATGCTTTAAACTCTGAGATGCACTATCAACTCCTCACCTTGCTGTCACACCGAACGTGCTAATTGGTAAATCCTGCTTCTCCCCAAGGAAGAATGAACCCTCGTGGATTTCAACAGCAAAGGACCAGAAAGCCCTAATTACTCATTATACTTCATGCAAATAGTTGTCCTGGTCCTACATTTGGTGAGACTAACCGCTGTTGGGGTATTTGGGATATTTGCAATGCACAGATCTTTAATCCCTTGATCTCAAACAAAGTAGCCGACTTGGCAGTTTGAGAACTTTGTCCGTCCTCTGCATCAGTATAATCAATTTGCTTTGGAATTTTGTTTTTGTAAAATTATGGCAGAGGAACGTTTTGTTTTCCAACTTGCATTTCCTGCTGTAAAAATGTGTTCTAGATGTTTAAACGCATTAACTATTTTTAGCTCGTAGTCCCTGATTTAAATACACCAAGCATTTGTGCATATCCATATAGCATTATTAATATTGCTACAGATTTTGAAAGATATTTGTTTTCTGTTTTTGTCAGATGACTTTTGACAACAAGAGTAGTAAAGTAAATGATCTTTGTTGTGCCTTATGCATCTTGAGAATTTTAACTTTGAATTGGAAGACGCACAACTACAACAAACTGGGTGAAAAAACATTAAAAATGTTGTTTGAACGTTAAAAGAATTGTCCTCCTCTTACTTATTGTACCTTGTCTTCTAAAGCGTGTAAAAGTTGTGATGTGATTACTAAAATGCGATTTCTATTTCTTTCGTGGGCTGGTTGGATGAACACAGTGGTTTTGCCACCAACTGAGTATCACATTAGCAAGTTGTAAACTTGGGACAGTGCACAGAATTTGGCAAAAAAAAAATCCCAAACTGTGTCAAGTTTTCAGTTCCATCGTCAGTATTTGTTTGTCTGCCTATTGTTTTTTTTTTCTATACTAACATGTAACAATTTATTCTTTGCCATTTTTATCTAGCAAATATAAAGAGTATAGACTCTTCCCTGGTGCTCCATATGGAAACATTGCTGCCAGTTTGATTTCCAGACAGACCTGATGACGCTGTGGCAGTCTTCCTCGGGGACAAAGAGGGCTGAAAGACGGCAGAGAAGGGCGGATTGAGGTTCACTAGTGCGCTTCCTCCCTGGGTCGAGTGTCCTCCTGAGGGGCCGCGCAGTAATCCGCTGAGATGTCAGAAATTAGCTTCCCTGGGATGGAGATGAATTATGACAGAGCACGATGGGAGCACTGGCTGGATGTCTTTACGACAGAGCAGGCTGCCTGCCTGGGGCTTGAACGTAGTGTGATTTGTACTAATAATCTTGCATAGCACAAATAACTATTTAAATTCTGGTCTGTATATCGTGGTTCCTGGCCTCCAACGTGTTAAGCACTGTTTTGAGCCACATTAATGAGAATAATAAAGCTATTTAGAAGCAGTGATGCATATATATATATATATATAGTATATCACGCTTTCAAATTTTTATATGTAATTTATTTTTAATTAAATAGTCTTCAGCTTGTTTTCTTAAATAAACATAATGACGGGTCATGGAAGCTGTGATCTGGATGTAGGAGACTACTCCGGATACCACACGCTCAGTGATGAGTTATGCATCAACAACTCAATAAAGACGTTGTGATAAATTAATGATGTAAAATGTGCAAACGCTGCTGTCTGGCAGTTTGCCCAAAGCAGACATGCTAAAGTAAATGTTTACCCTGTTGGCCATGGATAGTTCACTCTGGTAACATCTCACAGATTTTTTACAGAGGATGAAATGTCTGTGTATGCCCACACCCCATTACAATGTCTTCACTGGAGACTCTGACAACCAATTTTGAGATAATATCAGCCAGGCCTTGTGGTTCTCTATTCGATCTAGACGACAGCTCTGATGATGTAAGAAAGCTCGCATTTGTCAGTGCAACACGAAGCATGTCAGATTATCGGCCTTGAAACGGTGAAAAGAAGCTTGTTAGTCCGAAACATCACTTGAGGCTGACTCACGTCCTGTTAGGGCCCCACTGTGAATGAGGATGATTGACAGATAACACAGCTGGGAGGTCTTTTTAATTCCCGTTATTTGTCCGGAAGAATCGCATTCGGCGTCCGGGTAAGTGTAGAACAGCCTGTTTGGCCTGAAGCACACACGTACGCATCACTGGCATACAAAGACTGGTATACAAACCACACTCGCACACAAGCATGACACTTAACAGCATGATCCTTATAAGTGATTGGCCATTTGATTAAGACACAGGTCAAAACCGACCCGTTAACACAAGGGATGGTAACAGAAAGCTAACACAAGAGGAAGGTTAAAAGCTGGAGATTAAAGTGAGTTTATTTTGAAGCACATTCATGTAATATTGTGAACACACTATCCAAACTCTAGTGGTGAAGAGGTGATGGTGATTAGATCCTTCATGTTAACATTCAGAATGGCCCATGCTATACTTTGATATATCATACAATTAGGTATGCTGACTCTTTCTCTCATAATTCTGTACTTGACAATTACCCCAGATAACTACGTCCTTACGTCCAGCAGGTGGGAGGAAAGAGTCGGATTAGTTTCTTCTCCATTCAGTCGTAAAGTTTGGTATTGGCACCAAAGCAGTTATAACATAAGGATGATATTGGTGTGTATTTTTTACGTGAATGGTATAGTTTCAGAACTGTTATTTTGCTTGTTAAAACTGAATAGAAACACCGGCCGCGATACTGAAGCATCTACGCTGTCTACTAACCGCTAACTTCCTAAATAATTTGGATGAAGCATTCTTAATTTGCTTTAACTACCAACAGCCCCATTTCAATAACTTTTGTAATTAGAATAATCTAAAACAATTAAGTAATTTAAGCTTCACATCACATGAAATAATACAATGGTGTGGTCCATTTTTATTCCCTTGTATTTCATTTATTGATTAACCTCTGGACCGCTTCATCGGAATGAGTTCACTTATTGCTTAACATTCTTAATGCTTAATTTGCCTCCGTTGACCTGGTCGGTTTTCTGAAGCGCGGCGCCCTGCTATTTCTAGTTGAACAAATATTCTGGCCCGCCTCTTTGATTCTCAGGCCTTCTCCCTCCCTCATGCTCTCCCTAAGTAGGAGAATTTATGGCTCCCTCATGGATTGATAACATTAACATATCAACAAACACGCTTCCTCTCTTAACCATCATTTAAGAATGCAATTACAGCACCATTAAAATGCGGTTTCTTTTGTTTAATGTGGATATACTTTGATATTAATATGTGCGTTTGTGCTAAGAGTGTGTGGTACTATGCACAGGTTTTCAGTGCTCGATAGGCTGTATGCGACAGGGCTGCCTGGAGGGTAGAATTTGGACTCTCTTGGTTAAAGTAAATCCTAACGTAAACAGCCACGACAGGCCAAAAGGATGAACTGGTACATTTGAATGCCATAGAAATATTCAATAACTAATAAAAATCATGATGCTATCACAGTGTAACTAAAGCAAAACTGATCCTAACTACGCCCTCGCATGATCGTGATTGCTGGACTGTTTATTGTTTGTATTGTATCAACGTATTTTTCCAAAGTTAACTTCCAAAAGTTTCAATGTCTACAACTGACATCATTTTAATTGAATTATTGAAGTGTATCTGAGTAAGGTCTGGCTCACCTTGCAGGCACTGAAACCTTAACCATGAACTTCTTAAGCAAATAGTAGAGGCCACAAAGCACGCCGTGAGGACATGATGAATACAAATTGTGTGTTTCATTTAAAAATATACTTTTGAGCGCCTTTACATTTTAAAATACTCCCGTTTTAAGAGAAAATAGAAAATACAATAGTAAAGCTACAATATGCACTGATGCAGTAGAGGGGGCACACATGTGCACACATGGGCTACATGTGTCTGTCGGCACAGAGACGGGGAGGGGAGAGAGGGAGAGAAGGAGAGAGGGAGGAGATAAAGGGAGAGAAAGGAATAAGTTCACGCACAAGCAGGATCAAGGAAGCAGAGGAGACAACTCATGATCTTGGAAAAAGGTTTTGGATCAGACGGACATTTAGGACGAACCATGTGAGGTGAGTCGGCACAGTTGTAGCAATGTTATCTAGCTGATAATAGAGGGCCTCAAGGTGGAGGATCCGTCAGAACTACGTTTTTGTATAACCCAGAGACAATGTGCATCATTTGGATGTGTTATTTAACAGCTTGTGGTTTCACTTTAATTGTTCTAAATATTGTCTCAGGTAAAGGCTTCCGCCTTGCATGAGAAAAGTATGGTGATGTTTGTCACTCAGTTTAAACCACGTTAATCCTTTGAACATTGTGACCCGTTCATATGATTACCACCAATCATGAGGGAGTTGTTGAGTTGTCAGATAGAGAGCAATTAAGTTCATGCCTCTGATTAGATCTTGTGCTACATGTAAAACAACGCATCCTGGATGGGCTAATGGAATAAACCTTCAGTTTTTATTAGATTAAAATGTAATAAGCTAACTGAGGGATGACAATTCAACAAAACAAACGCACTGTAGGCAGCTTGCCTAAACTAAAGGATACCACACCATATTGTTTGCCTACATTGTCGTTGTGTTTTGAGACATTGTTGTCTCATACTGTTGACTCATCCACCTCGTGGGCTGGACCTAATGTTTTGACCGTGATGCAGGGTTCTTTATATTAACCTAAAATTGATTTTCTTTCTATGTTGTCTTTATCTGACCTTTGTGAGCTGACATTTATTCTATTATATCCATCAGCTGCCAAACAGAAACATGATGTCATATGTTAATTGATAAGACAAGAAATAGATATGCTGTTCATTGCGCTCACCCAAAGAAAAGTGGGGCATATACATGTAGCGTTTTCAGCCATTTCTCTTTCGCGGTCTGGTGAAATAAGGCACGTTAATTATGCAATGAATTGTAAAATGATCTCAGGCTTTCAATGTGGTACTATGGAGTTCTCCTGTTACCTTAGTCAGAATGGAGGCACAATGAAAGTGGAGTCAAACATGGATTGTATTTAAGTTTAGTGGAAAATCCTCTCTGACTCTTTCCAGCCAGTGAAGCCTGGTCCACGCTGCACCAAACGGGAGCAGCAGGCAGACGCCGCTCGATCTAAACTCAGTCAGTGGTGAACAAACAACGTCACCATGGAAACAACACGTGTTTATCCCAGGGGGATTCTATTACTATTACTGAAAACATTAGTTATCTGAATGACATAGCTGAAACGATGGCTACTTTAAAGGGCCAATACCTTGAGGAAACAAAATAGAACTGAGACGATGTTGTGCACAGTCTAAATTCTAATTAAATCTACTGGCTTTGAAATTATTGAAGGTGTTGAAACCATATCTCATCGTTGGGAACGGTCATTGTCAATAAAAACTCCTAGAAATGTTTGCACTTAGTTGTGGCGCTATCTCAAAAAGTCCTGTATGGTAGATTTTTTCTTTAAATTTTCCTTTACAGATATCGGGTTGTAAAATATCACATTTTGGCCCCTTTCCATCCTCATTAGATATCATAGCCTTGACCTAACCTCTGTTGCAATGACAACAAAATTCTTATGACATGCACCATTTACTTTTTGGTTTCCTTGTTTCCTTGTTGAGTTTTTGGTCTCTTAACACTGTGTGTTACAAGTGTGTGCTAGTGTGTGTTTGTAGGTGCCTGACGCAAAACTATAAACGTGAATGTGCTAGTGTAGAGCCAGTGTTTGGTTTGTCCAATTCTTGGCTACTGTAGAAACGAGTCTCCAAAGATCTGAAGACAACCTGTTTAATATGTAGAAATAAACAGTTCATTCTATGGTAACAAAAACACAGCGATTCGTACTTTCAGGTTAATATGCCCGAAAGAAAATATAACTTAGCAAATTTATGTTATATTTCTCCCTTAGTCACACTAACAATACACTGTTCCTATAACATATTGTATTATGAGTTCATTTTTGTGGAAACTTACGCACTACACGCAGTCAATTAGATTAGAAAATATATGTGGGGAGGTTGTTTTAATAATAATACAAGATCTGGTTCTATTTTAATCATACTTCATCAAATAGATTTGACTACCTTCCTAATCTCCTCCACCCTAACTGTATATCCGCTGTTCAATGTAAACATTCAGGTCATGCTATCTGTCGTACACAAGAGATGATATTGTGTTTGTAAAATATGCCAGATGCTATTGTCTCTTACTGCAAATACAATACCAAACTGACTTCACTATCATAAAGATATGCATAACATAATGATAATGTGCCTAACAGGAGACAGCTGGTGTGTTAAACAGAGTCACAAGAACAGAACATCTTTGCTGCATTGAGGATGTTGATTTAATCAACTCGGGTGTGCCTAGAAACTTCACAGAGTTTGATTATGTGTGGATAAGATAGAGGGATGTGGTGGATAGTTTGTGAAAGCTACTAGGAGTAAACGTGATGTTTTAAAGCTTGCCTCTGCTTACCTTTTTTATTTTCTTTATAAATGGGATGGAAGTAGGTCTGTGAACATTTCCTTTCCACCTGTTTTGATACATTTGCTGGCACACATTTTGCTTCAAAAAGTGTATCTGTGTAAAATTTACTACTCATTTACTCAAGAGATTACGAGATTAAAGGCGTGCTACTTAGGGAATATATACCGTACCCTACTATCTGATTTACTGATTTACTGATTTATTTTGCCGTTACTTTTTCACGCATGTGTTGCTTTTATTAGACAACATAAAGCTGCAATTTTCTCTTTTATTCCTTTGAAATACACAAATGTTTTTTTTTCAAGTAAAATATGTTGTTCTTGTCCTTCCACAGGGGAACTGTTCACGCCCCTGGCACCTGGGAGAAAGAGGGATGGCTAGGAAGCGCTTTGAATGTGATCTATTCCCGAATATGACCACCATCATGCAAAGCAGCCATGCTCAGAATTGTCTGATGTAAAAGTGAACTGGCAGTGGATGAACATTTCACCCCCTAAGAAAACAACAGCAGCACTGTCCACCTGCCCCAGTGCCTGAGGAGCAGGTCACCATGATCTCTACCGCTCTGCGCTTGTTGGTCCTGGTGTCTTTCATCATCCTGACCATCGGTGGCAACGTGCTGGTGTGTTTGGCGGTGGGGCTCAGTCGCCGGCTGTGGCGCGTCGCTAACTGCTTTGTGGTGTCCCTGGCGGTGACGGATCTCCTGCTGGGCCTGCTGGTGATGCCGCTGTCTGCCACCGTGGAGCTGGGCAGCGGACATTGGCCCCTCGGCGGACCGCTCTGTAACGTCTACATCTCGCTGGATGTCATGCTGTGCACATCCTCCATACTGACCCTGGTGGCCATCAGCGTGGACCGATACCTGGCCATTTCAGCTCCCCTTAGCTACTCCAGGAGGGTTACCCCTCTGAGGGTGACACTGGCCATGATCGCCATCTGGGCCTTGTCACTAGCGGTGTCCTTTGTGCCCATCCACCTGGGCTGGAACACGGCGGACTATAGAGTGCAGCACATGGACTGGGGAATGGGGGATGACGACCAGGAGGGACTCTACTGCCAGTTTGAGTGGAGAAACAACTATGTTCTCATTTATACCTTTGGCTCGTTTTACCTGCCTCTGCTGCTTATGTGTGGAATGTATCTTTGCATTTTCAGAGTGGCACGAGAACAGGTGTGTGTTTATTTCATTTTTTGCAGAACATGCACAAGTGGTACATAAAAGGTCGTAATTCACGGCATCCTTATCCTCTCTTTGCATCTGTCTGGCCGCTACTTTTGCAACAAAGTCTGTAAATAAAAACAAAGTGTAAAAAGAAAAATTGAGGTAAAATAACTTATTTCAAATGGAGCTTCCATAAAAAATGAGAAAAATATTTAATTTGTCATTATCAGCATAATATTTAAATTTACAGTTGGACTGTTAATTTACAGATAATATCTTTATTTTACAGAATTTTGTACAGAATTAAAAAAAAAAAAAAGGAAAACTACTACTGTAAAAATTTAATTTTCCATAAAATTAGGATCTTTTTTGTGTAGGATTTCATATTAGTGATGTGCATGTTGCAGAGTAATATGTTCTTGTTGCTGGAATAAAAACCTTTCCTCATCAGATGAACGAGTAAACTAATCTCATTTTCTATCTCTCCAACCTTTTCTCAACTGATCTTTTTAAGGTGCGGCGTATTCGTGCTGCCACGCCGTCCTTTGCACGCACAGCATCAACTGCAGCCATAGCCCGGGAGCACAAAGCTACAGTGACCCTGGCAGCTGTGCTGGGGGCCTTTGTCATCTGCTGGTTCCCCTACTTTACCTTCTTCACCTGCATGGCCATAAAGAAAACGACTAACCCCCCTAACACACTTAACTCCATTATCCTGTGGATGGGCTACTTTAACTCAGCGCTTAACCCCATCCTGTATCCGGCCTTCAACAGGGATTTCCGCAGGGCGTACGGAGAGCTGCTTCGCTGCAGAGGACTGTCACACAGAAAACTGCAGCTCACTCGTCTGTCTGTGCGTAAACAAGTGACCTTGACTAATGGACAAAGTGTTTGGCAACGCTCTGAGAGGCATGCAGACACGGTTAATGAAGAGGCCGAGGGGAAGAAACTCACTCCACACGAGATAAATGGTATCCCTGATGTGCCACGGTGAAATGCCATCGACATGCAAACAATATGCAATTTATGTAAATCTAAAGGTACGACATGATGAATAAATATACAGCTTTTTTTTTTGTACAAAAAGTAGTTCATGAAGCAAATCCAATGTGCATGTGCTAATAACAATAATGATGGATTCGAGTCACAGTACTATGTGAGCTTATGGCACAGGTTTATTTTGCCTACAGCAGTGGAAGTCAAAGTAAAGATCAGCCGAGAGTCGAGCAGAGTGGAATGAATGGATGACTAAGTAAGTTTTGTAGCAAGCTGCGTGGAGACAAAGGTGGTTAAAAGTTTGTACATTATTTATCTTTTCTCTCCTCCACACCGCCAGTGAAAGTGAATAACTGACCAGCATGGGTATTTGATATGTAACTTGACAGATCAAGTGTGTTTTAGAATTTGTGCATAGCTGCCACGCACAAACCTGCAATTATAAGGACGACCAGTTGCATTAAAGAAGACACATGATTCACAGTGAAACTGCTCCGAAGACTTCTGATTTATTTGTGGGACTACCGTACAAGCACCGCCTCACATTGACATAAAAACTTTAAATAGCTTGGTATTAAAATGCAATTACATCTTTTCTCACTGGTATAACAGAAGTATAACAAAATAAGAGCAATGTCAATGTAGTTGGCTTGAAAAAGACTTGACGGGAAAGCAGTGTTTTTTTAAACTAAATAATTTCTTCATTCAAAAGCAGACATTTTAATTAGTTTTTTGTTATAATCCAGTTAGTAAAATTGAATGAACCGGTAAATAATTTCACTTGCAAATAGCCTTTTAATATATTGCACACACTGTACTTTATGATATATAATAGTATTGTTTCGGCTTTATTTGTTAGTTGCTTTAAGATAGATGATTTCAGAATAATTTCAATAGTTTTGTGCAGATTTAAATGGTTTTCAAGCACAAGCACTGTTAAAGCACAGTTGAAAGACAAGGCTGTTGCAGCAGAGAAAAGGAATGAAATTCTATTGGTACGAATCTATGACCTCAAACTCACAGACGAGGCGATGCTGCTGCGGAGAAGAAAGTGCATCGCATAATCAACAGAAGGTTTTAGCCTGAAAGTGTGACAACCCAGGTAAAATTAATTTATTGTTTAGATGCCGCAGGACTTCTGTTTGATTAAAAATAACATCTAAGTCAAAGACGTGACCTAGTCGGCATTTGTTGGCTCAGTGACAACAAGACTTCATAAAGTGTCGTCTCACTGCCAAGTACCAGCAATCGCTAAGTCCTGTAACATGTTGACCTAAAAAGTTCTTAACGCCCGAAACACATGAACCCCCCCCCCCCCACATCCGCTCTTCTTGAAGCAAGAAAAAAACAAAAATGTTAGTTCTGTGCCTGGAAAAGTAAAATAACAGGAGCTGCTTCCGGATGACTTTAGATAGCCGTCCCCATAGGGAACCAATGACACACAACGTGTGCACACAACACATGTGCAGACTGAGTTAGAAGACTTAAAGATTCACAATGCCTCTGTGTGCGTCATTGTGTGCTTTATGAAATTATATTGCTGGCTAGGAAGTGTGTTAATTCAATATTGTGCTTGCCTAAACCCTGGTGACCGTGCAATCTACCGTGATCTGACAAGTCTCTCATTTACAGTATATTGTGGTTATCTCTGTTTACTCTTATTACCATTCCTATCTTTATCTTTATTGAGCAAAGATGAATAAAATCCCACCTGCTGAACAACGAGCAGAATTTTATCTCAATGGAATATTTTTATTGTTTCGGTGGTTGTCTGTGTGCAAACAGCTATTTATTTGCTTTGCAGACAGTTCACCCAGATACGTAGTAAAGGGTTTGCAGTGTTTCAGGATATGATCCAACAGTAAGGATTCATTATGCTTTTAGGATACCGTATCTGCGTCAGTTGTGACTACAAAGAGAATTCTTTTCTAACTCTTTTAAACACTATAGATTTAAAGAAACGTGGAAAAAGTATGTCATTCTGATCAATGTGCTTACAATAAGAGGCAAACAGCCTCCCAAAAAAACAACATCCATGTTGTGTGCCAATTCCAAAGAAAAAGTACCGCCCCATATCGAAAGAGATAAGTGTCACGGTTTGGGTTCACGTCCTGTTGTATTTTGTAGTTTTCTGCCACTCGTGTCCCCGGGTAACTTCACTTCCTGTCTTGTCCTGTCATCCCCTGTGATTGTCTGACTGTTTCCACCTGTGTCCAATCACCTGCACCATCCCAGTGTATTTAAGTGTTGTAATTTATGTGTGTCTCTATTGTCCCTTGTCGCGTCATTGTTAACAGTCGGAGGTCCATGTCTGTGTGTCCCTGGTTCCTGTGTGTGTTTTTTGCCACTTGGCCTTTTTTTTGCTTTTTTCTTTTGCTTTTGACTATTAAAGTCTTTTGTTTTCTTGAAGTTTCTTGCGTTTGAGTCCTGCTTACCACGCCCACCCCCGTGACCATAAGTTAGGAATCCCGACATAAGGAGGTAAACCTTCCATGCACAAGACAATCAACATTTCCGTTGTATAATTAGTTTAACACACAATATTTTCTGCAATAGGATAAACAACCATGAGCCACGCAAAAATTGCTAATTCCATAATATCCCAATCTTGCAGTAATAATGGCTGCTGATTATGACGTAATTCGATCTCCTACTAATTTAATGTGAGGAGCCCTGTGGGGAAATTCACGTGGGACTTACCAATAAATAACTTGTTAATGTTAATGGTTAAATACCTGTTACACTTGGGACTGCCAACTGTGGTTGTTCTATTCCGTCTTTTATTTTGTTAATCAAAATTCTTGGTGGAAATCAGTTCTTTGGCGTTGTGTAACATAGCATTTTTCCTTAGGTTAGCTCCGAACAAGCTCTGAGATGAAACCCGGAACCTTGGCTCTTAATATCAGACCAACGTTCTATTCAAGTTGAGCAACTGTGGCTGTGTGTGTGTGTGTGTGTGTGTGTATGTGTGTGTGTGTGTGTGTGTGTGTGTGTGTGTGTGTGTGTGTGTGTGTGTGTGTGTGTGTGTGTGTGTGTGTGTGTGTGTCACTTTTATGAGTCTGTGTAATGTCCACAGTGTGATTTTTTTATATTTCATTATCGCCACGAGGTGCCAGCAAAGCCCATATTGCTTGAAGTCTCGTACTAAATTTACAATGGAGGAATTGCTAGTAAATACATTCAGTGTAAAGATTTGGATATAATTGTTGATTGCAATTTACCAATGCATGGCCGAGAGGATGTTATTAAAGTATCCCACTACACAATCGCAATATACAGTCAAATCACAGTACATAGTCGAAATGCAACCAAACACCCAATCAACTTTCCATTCTTTCATGAGCAACTGCATTTGCCTTTGAGACCCATCGTCACGGAATAAATGCGCCTCATGTCTCTATGAGGTCAACAACGGCCTATTTCATTGTGGACATGGCAGTAATCACTCTGTCCACCAGATGGCCCAATAAACCCGTTTTTAACTCTACAAATATGGTGATAGTTTTTTTAAGGATTCCCTAAAATATACACTGATGGCATTATAATTCCCAAGACAGCACCTGTTCATAGAATGAACGAAAGGGTACTGACAGTTTAAGAGATATATTTAATTATTTGATCATTAAAAAGGTAATTCAACTAAAGAAAAAACCTTCATACGTGTTACTGTTGGATCGCGAGAATCAGCTTTGAGTTTGGGTGTAAATAAATTAGGGTTAGGGTTAGCAAAAAAAACCTCAGGGTTTCTTGTCTTGAATGTAATTGTGCATTGTGAAGGTGGAAAGGTTTTTTCTCTGTTGATCAAGCGGTGATGACAGAGGTGATGCAAGAAAAAACAAGGAAAGGAAGGAAACAGTTCATTATTTAGGAATTTTGTGTGTTCTATATTTGTATGTTTAATTATTCCTTCTCACTGTAATGAGAAGCGAGCGCTTCAATAACCTCATACACTATGCAACTGAGTAGGTGGTAAGGTGGGCGGCGAGGTGCGAAGTATTAAAAAACGATTCCTTGTTTTTTTCCCTCTCTAATCTTGCATTGTGCGCTTGTAAATACTGCCACTATATTTGATTGGGCTGCTGACTGGTGTTTGTCAAGTCACACGTCCTAATTGTCCCCTGTGGACCTGGACAGGACAGCAGCTGCAATGCATGATAACACACATTTCTCCTGCAGGCTATAATGACAAATACAAACAAATAAATAAAGTTGACCAATTTGCTAAACTAAACACAAACAAGGGAGAGGACTGTTAAAGTCCAATGCATACTGTGAACAGCAGCTACATGTCTCATTTCCCATCTGCAGATTTGTTGGAAAAACTACTATATTATCATGTCATAGTCAGCAGGGCTCTTAACATCGCAGAATGTCTGTACCGTCTTGCAATGATAACCGTCTATGTCATGTCAGATAGAAGACGTCTGCGCTTAGAATCTCTAGAGGACGTGCTGTTGACGTGTGGGTAAAAACTATATCTCCTTGGGAAAAAGAACATAATGGCCCGGCACTCAGATGTGCACAAAGCCCCTGTGTTTCATTATGTGATCTTCCATGCTATATACTGTATTACCGCTCCGAAGATCAAGACCTTTGAGCAGCCTTGATGCATAACACTGTATGTTGTCAATTCTGTCTCCATGCTTGCAAGCATTTAATACATTTCCTGTTTAATGATTGATCATTTTTTGGTTGGTGCCAGTGATGCTGAAGGAATTATGTTCTACCTTCGTCATTGCAATAACACAGGATGCAGGGCAAGTAAAATAGATCTTCAAGATGTGGATTCTGCTTCCTTAGCACTTCTTTCTGTATATACACCAGTGCCTGCTGCAGCAAAAGTGTCTCTTTGTAGTGCTAAATTCCACTGAAGTGATTTTCTACCTTTTACAAAACCTACCTTTTTTGTTTTTGTTAATCATCCATTCTGGTTGCTTTGTGCCACGCCAGATTAATTGTAATCACGTAGTGTTGCTAATGCAATAAAGCAATATGTATTTATGTCCAATGCAACGTTTGAATCTAATGGCATTCTCATCAGCAATTTGTGGTGAGTGAGAATCTTTAGTGGATGCTTAGTTAAGATGGTAAGCACATGGGTTAGCACGTTGACGTTATAGCATTTAGCTCAAATCACTGTGTCTGAAGTTCACCCTCTCAGTGGCGTTGCGACATGAGCCTCCAAGTAAACTTGTAAAGCTTTTAACCGCAATACCCTAAACCTATTACTTGTGCTATATATTGTGAACAGGCATTTGTGTTGCCTGCTTGTCGTATATGTTTTCAGTGAGTCTGCACGTATGCGTGGGTCCTGCGATAATGCAGCTGGTGATGCATCTTTGTCTCACTCTGCCAGACATCTCAGCTCCAAGTCCTCCCACCGCTCCGTTCACTTTCCATCCTTTCAACGTGCAGACGAGTGTTAAACTCATGGAGTTTCCGAAGCCATGTTTTTTTGAGGGCTTGGGAGACTTGAAACCGGAGTGTAGGAGGTGATGCCGTGCTTCTGCAGAGTTCCTCTGCTGCTTGCACCCAGCATCTGTATAGATTGTCAGTACTGAGAAGCCGGCCATGAGGAAATGGAAAAGCTGAGGTTGCACTCAATGAGATGCATATGAATAAATGAATGTACACTGAGCAAAGCAATTCTGTTTAATTAATAGCTTTTTTTCTTTATGAACTTTCATACATCTAATCTGCCTCGTTTCATCTACTCAAGGAATTG